CCCCCCCCCCCCCAAACAGATATTAATATAAATTTTGGAAAAATTTTCTTTTTGACTTTCATTACAATCGGATCTATGGTACCTTTCATCTCTTCCTCCCTCTCTCGCCATATCTCCATCTACCTCCCTCGTCCCCTTCTCAATACTCCTGATTTCCTTCCCACCAACTCAGCAGCAAAAAAGATGTCAACATATCACTTCTCCACCCCATTTTCTTTCCATTCAGAAAAATCAACCAACCCACCCTCTCACGTGTCCAAGGAACGAGGCAAAGAAATAGTGCGAAAAAAAGAAAAGGGTAAAGGTTATCCACCTAAGATACAAATGTCGACTTCAAGACATCGGAGAAAGAGGCCACATAAGACCCAGCTTCCCTTGTCATGAAAAAGACGAGACAAGCATAAAGAAGAATCGTTCTCCTGATCGAGAGAATTCTATGGGAAAGGGCGAGCGGTAGCAGCGTGAGGTTTTGGGGTATTCGATATGACCGAGGAAATGATTCGAGTCGTGAAAAAGGAGATTCGATAGGAGGACGAGGGATTTGATGGGATATCGGGTATTTGGGCGAAGGTAAGAGAGGTCAATCGAAAAGAGGTTGAATCGGGTTTGACGGTATATGTGGATGGAGAAAGAAGAAAAAGTCTGAAAGGACAGGACGGCTTGCGAAATAGTGTGTTGATTGTGTATCGTAGATTTTTCTTATGATGCCAAATGTGAAAATGACCTTCATATTCAAGAGCACTTCTTCTTGTGCCCTCGCCTACTTCACATCTATACACAAAAACACCAATATGGTCTTGATAAAAACACAAGATGGAGACCTAAAGCAAACCAATATGCACCCAGGAAAACCGTAAACGCCATGACAGAAGAGATGCTAAATGACATGGGGAAACTCGTTGTCGTATAGTCGCTTATCTAGGCATTGGTTACCTGTAGATGGTGGTCAGCTTACAATTCGCATACTTCCTTCCATACACATCTCTACATACCTTGAGAATCCTCCTGGAGTAATCTTGGTTGTCGGCAATGCTACCATCACTCATTCTTCTTTGGGCCATGACTGATGGGTCCAATCGAGTATCGTTGAATGATGAAGCACCACCACTGCTGGTTGGCGGTTTTCCTCCTCCAGCAATGAAACTGCTCACAGCAGCATTGCGTCGGTATTCCTCTTCGACCTCACGTCGGTTCTTGTTGCGAATGAATAAGAATGCACCTCCAGCGATCGCAGCAAGAGCCAGTATTCCCACGACCACACCCGCAGCGATACCTGCTTTACTTGGTCCTCCTGAGCTCTTGGCGGGTGCAGATGAGGTCGCGGCTGCGTTGGAGGTGGTACCAGGAGCAGCTGTTACGAGAATTGTCTCGCCAGGGACTGTGACTACCGACGGAGGAGCGGATGAGGTTGTCGATGGTGGAGCGGATGAGGAGCTGCCGCCGCTGGCTGTTTCGGTTTCAACCTTTGCAACCCTTCCACTGGTATACACGGTGAAATATTTGTCTCCACCACCTTGATGATTGTTAGCCAATAACCCGATATCTAACGGACAGCACACCTACAAGTCTTCTCTCCAAAACCAGCACATGGGGTATCACAGAGTGCGTCGTCCACCTTTAGACTCGCTGGTGGATACTTGGCACCACACCAACAGTCGGAACCTTTCGTTGTGGCCATGGCATTATATCCAGCTGGAGCGCAGGCTGTTTGACATAATCCTTCTGTTTGATACATGGCGGTGTTGTTGAAGGTGTAGGCGCTCAAATCGGAGTAGCATCCTTGGGATTTGGGTTCCAACAATGCTGTGACCGATGATGCCGCCATGAGCAGGCTAGCTGCGACAATCATGGTAGGCGACCTCATGTTGGTTGATTAGATGGCCGTGGCCTCGAAGATGGTGGGAGGTCAGTCGATTAGGGTTGATGAAAAGAAGCCCGACTCGATGTATATCGCGTCGTGCTGTAAAGGGTATGTGTGGTCGAAATGAAAATGGGCTGTTCTAGAAGTTTACGGAGAACTCAAGAACCAAGTGAATGGTCTCGGGTTGGTGTTGATGGAAGTTGGAAGCTTGGAAAGAAGCGATCGACGGAATCGTTGGAGGCTGGACTTTGGACGAGATGGGTCGTTGTCGGCGATGCTTGTTTCGAGATTTTCTGGCCCTGCTATGTTACCCACTCCTGAAATAGATGGCCGTTCGTGTCGTGAATGGACTGAACGGGTGAGCGAGAGGGAGTATGTTGAGGGAGAGAGCTGGGCGGCGGTGACGGTGACGGTGACGGTGACGGTGACGGTGACGGTGACGGTGACGGTGATTGGGATGGTGGTTGAAGAAAAGTAGTAGGAGAAAGGGAGGCCGTAACGAGTGTGCCTGTGCAAGAAATGATTGTGGAGGTTCAGATTTGACAGAGACGGAAGACCTCGACGACCTGACAGAGCAAAGTGGATGGACTGGAGACGGGACTGGAGACAGGAGGCTACGGAGGACTGAAGGAAGGGGAGGGAAGAGTAAGGACCGTGACCTTGAGAGAGGAGACGCTGCCCTTTCTCTTGATTTGGCAGCGGAAGAACTGTGAGTGGAGAAGGACGAGACCTCTGAAGGGATGTGAGGGTGACAGCCCCTGTCCATTCTGTGCCCGCCTGTGCCTGCCTGTGCCTGCCCCTGTTGCGAGCAATTTCGTTCGTAGGGGCGAGGCCCGATCCGTCCACTCGGATAATCAACGCCGGGCTCATTGCTCCTGCCACACCTCTGGCTTCAGTGCATTCACGCCTTCACGCCTTCACGCCTTCACGCCTTCACTTCCCCGACTCTCTTCCTCTGCCTATCGGCCTTCTCCACCAGTTGTGCAGCCAGGTGCAGCCAGGCGCTGCCTTTGATCCTGGGCAGCGGCTTAGCCGACCTTGCATCAAGTCACATTAAAGCACTCGCACTCGCACTCATTCTTAGTCTAGGAGCCTCAGCCTGAAAGTAGTCCATCTCCAACCACAGCGAAGTCGTCCACTGAAAGTATTCTGTGCTTAGATTCGTTTCTTACTTCGTAGAATCATTGCTCACAATCATTGCTCTGAATAATTGCCCAGACCCATCGCCCAGGCAAAGTCTGGGGCCTAGGTCGATAGATTACCGACTACTTCCTACTTGCGCACTCCCACTCGCATCTCGGTACTCGTAGCACTGAGGATTTCGTACTGCTCCTCCGTACCTGTTGGACCAGTGACCACAGTAGTACTACTAGTAGTAGCAGGAGGTGGCAGGCGTCGGGTACTGATACTGAGACTGAGCACCGACTCTACCGAGCTGAATGGCCTGAAGAAACAAGACAATTCAACCACGATGGCCCTGGGACTCCCCAACTCCAAATATACTTGGAAGCACTTGGAGTCTTGTCCCTAATATAAACACCACGGCCGACCAACCCGAGGACCAACCGTGGTCTGGAAATTGACGACGATGAAGCACTAAAGTGGATTGACTGATTGACTGATTGACTGATTGACTCGGACCATTATTGACTCCAGTGACTCCAAGCTTGACGCAAGACAACCCCATGTTGTTGGCGTCCAGGGGCGTCACTATCCGTCATTCAAGTCACTCTATCACCCACCTGCTCCTGCACCTGCACCTGCTCCTCATGAAAAGTTATCCACACTTTATGATTTAACCAAGCTTACTCGCTTGCATAGCATTAGCCGCATTAGCAAGTCATAGTCCCCGCTGTCATCCCATTTTAGTCCACGGGCACTTTTAGTCAGGGGCACGTTTGACAGGTTTTCCTAATCCGGATTAGGATGAACAACCCCTCCCATCGAACCATTCCTAGGCGAGAACGAATGGAGCACCACGGAGCTGCTGGGAGGATTCCTGTTCCCCCATGGGCCACAACTTCCAAAAACTTAAAGACTCCTCAAGACGCAAAGAAGGATTGTTGCCACGACGACTTTCCGCATCGAGATGACGGTATGAAAACGTCACTCACCATTCAGAGACTCGGGCACCCAAAAATGACCGATGGGCACCTGCGCAAGTACCGCTTCACGAGACTTGCAGCACTGTGCACGCCCGAGTCGCTCTCGTGGTGAGACAGGCATCACCCTCACCCTCATCCTCATCCGTGAACTACGAACTATACGATGATTTTCCAAACCGCCGGAAATCTCTTCAATATGATGCTCTCACCCTCGCCTCGCGTAAGAAGGACCACCCATCCTTCCACAACCTTTTTAGACCTGATACGCTCTACTGCTACCTTTGTTTCCAATGGGCTACAGTAGAAACAGCCATTGTGTGCTGCGTGTTGTTTCGAACCACATGCTTAAATCCTCCGCGGGTCACCTCCGCACACCTGCGTCTCAGTTCTACAAACACCCCCATTCCCATCACGAGGATGACATGATTACTGTAAACATCCAATCCTCTCGAGCGTCGGAAACCAAAGTTGGTTGGTCGGTTGGTTGGTGATAGTTTGTCAGTCGTCACACACCAAGCCCGCCTTCTACAACCGGCAGGCCCGGTTAAATCCCTTCTAGCGTTATACACATGCAGTACCAGTTGCGCCATCTGCAGCCTCACTGTACTGCTCAAATCCTATACGAGATCCTATTTTTGTGCGCTTATTTCCTAAAGCGGGAATCTTCTACACCCTTCTGACATACAGTATCTTACAATACACGTCGAATATTTCCCAGCCAATCGTCAGGATTGATAACATTTCTCAACTAGGTAATTAATTACAAGTAGGTACTCGTACCCTCCATCAAACAAGTAGCGAGTAACGAGAAGCAGTACGACGCCTTTTCATTTTTCCGTCTTTGACACGGATACCCATGGTTTTCACAATTCCCGATTCACAAACCATAAAGAGAGAATCAAGAAAATGATTAGAAACCCAACTCAAAAGAAAAAAATTACAAAGCTTACTTTACACTTAATTACTTCGTACACCATCACGTGTGAAACCTAACCTAACTTCCTCTATCGCTATCGCTGTCGCTCGCTCTCTAATTAACTAATTTGATTACACTTCCTCTCGCCCTTAGAGTTTAATAGGTAATCTACTTTCCAAATTCCCTCTACTTCATAATTTTCCTTAGATCTCCCACTCTTACTTACTTGCTTATGAAGTATCTGTGTTTGTGTATGTATTTGTGGTTGTGTGCTTATGAAAGTCTTTCTTATTACTCCTAGATAGCGAAAGAAAAGGAAAGAGGGATGTGAGTATAGAGGTGGGAAGGTAAAAGTAAAGTGGGAGCGAGCTGCGAGAATTCTTATTAGATTTAGACTAGGAAGAAGTCTCTCCCTATAGGTAGGATGTTCAGTAAAGCAGTTGGTTCACATCCCTCTCGTCTCTCTCTCTCGACTTGTTACTTCTAATACTAATCAATACTCCCCATCCCCATCCCCATCTAGACGTCTGGTATATGCTATCGCACACAGATTCCTTCCTTCCTTTCTTTACCAAAATGTATTCGAGAATGACACTTTCTTGCTACTCACTCGAGACTGTACCATCTCCCTACAATACTATGTCACATCACAACATTCCACATACTATACTACAGCATATCCTCTAATAATCTAATCTCATCTAATCTCATCTCAAAACACTACCCTCACCTCCCTCCCTCATCCTAAAATCGATAAGATACACTAACGCTCCTCTCACCTCTCTCCTTGTCCTCGTCTTCCGCATACATACCTCGTCCGCAGAGCTCCTGCGCTACAGTAGTTTCGAGGAGATAAACAGATAACTTCCGAACCTCTGTACGAGTAAGATTACCGTACGCGATACTAGATATCTACAGACTATTCCTGTTCCTATTCCTATTCCTATTCCTATTCCTATTCCTATTCCTATTCCTATTCCTATTCCTATTCCTATTCCTATTCCCATATTTCTTTCCATTTGGAAAGACCACAAATCAGGAACTGTGTATTTCTCTAACTAGGTACGCTTTTTTTCTTCTTCTTTTTTGTTGTTGCGATGGCTGAAGGGGGTCTTGTTGTTGTTGGTTTTTATGATGTACTGTACTTGAGTGGAGGGGTGGGAGATGTGGAGGGGAGGGAGATGTGGAGGGGGAGGGAGATGTNGGAGAGGGAGAGGGAGGGGAGGTTATAGCGATTTTGGGATTTTGGGATTTCGTCGATGGCGATGGCGATGAGATGGAGGGAGGGATATAGAGGAGAGGCGAGGGGAGGAGGGTAAGAGGTGTAGACGAGTGAGATGGTTTGGAGTATGGATGAATTATAGTGAGGAGAAGACGAAGTACGTGTGTAGGGTAGGGTTTGGTCGTGGGGTTTGTGGGGGGTGATGAGGGGGTTGTATTAGGTATGTAAATTGGATTGGATGGTGCTTGAATTAAGCTAGGTTGAGGAGGGGCTTTGGGACGGGAAGGAGATTTATTGGGAGGTAGGGTTCTTTTTATATACTAAGGTGGGGGGGGTTGGAGGGTTGATAGAGTAGAGATATTTTGTTATTACTAATAATAGTATATTGAATGATTAGGTAGGTATAGTGAAATAGTGGTTTGAGTATGAGATCTTATCGTATCTTTGGCCTGGATTACAAGGACTACAGTGATTGAACGAGAGTAGACCTATTTTATTAAATATATATAGAATCTTATAACCCTACTCGACTATAAGCTATAAATTAAAATATATTATGTAATACCCTATTTCTTTATAATTACTTTGGTACTCACGCTAGTAGAATTTCTGAATTATAAGTTATAACACCTCGATTTTAAAAGGAACCTGTTAATTTACTTCTATTATACCTTATATTGCTAACTCGCAACAGCTCCTTCTTTCATCGAAACAAACGAGAATGTATCGGAATTCAATGACCTACTACTGTACCTAACTTAGCACTCTCGAACTTTACATGGAATTTGGATTGGGTTCTTGTGAGAGGTGTGAGATGTTTATTCTCTTGCTTAGAAAATATATAGAAACTTAGATTTAAGGGTATTTCATCGTGTTTGTGGATTTGAAGGAGAAGGGAGGGTTGTGGGAGTTCGATGGATGTTAGCAACGATCGGCAAATGGAACTCGATTCCACGGACTTATAGAATTCCATTCCAAAAGGAATATTCCAGAGCACCTTATACATAGAATGGAATATCCCATCGAATAGGCTCTGGAATTCCATAGAATTATGGAATTCCAGAGTGGGTTTTTAAACCAATCTGAAGGCAGGGGAATTAAAGTAAACAGTACTTAATTTTGTACTATAATATAGTTTCCTTAAGTTCTGTATCCTTTCATCCGCTATAATTACTTTACTTGAATCTATTTATTACCTACCTAATTCCTCTAATACTTCTTTAGAAGCCGTATATAGACTACCTATATTACTATAGTTATTACTTCTAGTAGGATAAGAATGTATATTTTTTAATACTAGTAATATTCCTAGTCGAATCCAGCCTTCCTATTAGTAGTCGGACTGGGTATACCTGTTTACGGGTCATATGACTTGGTTTTGTAGAATTCTAGTAGAATAGAAGGTATAGAATGGAATAATTCTAGAATTATTCTAAATAGAATAGAATATTCTATACCCCCCCTCTGGAATAGAATGGAATTCCAGTTGCCAAACGCTTGATGTTAGATGTGTATTTTTTGTTTGGATTAGGTTGGGTTGTATGGAGATGGTAGAAAGGTCATATTGGGGGAGGATCGTGTAAGATAGACGTTCGACGTTTCCCTCTCAAATTTTTGTTTGGAGGAATGAAATTGGCATTCATGTCACGTGGGAGTGGTCTTTTATATATCTAGTAGATGATCAGGATTGAATTCAGCTAGCATTTACGAGTTGATGCGATGCAAATGTAAGGTTTGTGGTCAACTATAGGTAAGGTAACGTAAGCCAAAATTAAGCGAGGTCTACTGTAACATTAATTGGACCCGACACCCCTCATGCTTCCAAGCCACGCACAGCTTTTTTTCTTCTTCTAAACTAGTCCCTGATTTCCGACGGGCGGTACTTAGATAGACCAGGTTGGGGTTTATCTTGTTGGGGAGTTAGAAGCGCACTGTCATCGATCTAACACCTTAGTTCTCGCGCCAAAAACTCGACGGCTCGCTTAGGTATAGAACGGGACGAACATGGAACTTGGCCTTGAGTCTTCACGAGGGTCATACCTTGGGATGATGGCGAGCGCGTGTGGGTACATCGTGGCGTCGATGTGCGGATTCTTGGGTTGTGGGATGTTGAATTTTTGGTTTTCTGGGTTTCTTATGTAGTAGGTATAGTATATCTTACTAGATATAAGGATACTTGTAATCTTACAGGAGGTTGGAAAACTATTCGGTTACTGTACTCCGTAGCGGGTCTCTAGAACATGGGAAGATGGTATACTGGAAGTTTTAGAGTAATGAATTTGATTGTTCCATCTCATCCTATCACAGTGTACTAACCGAGAGAAATTCAAAGAACTATTTACCTCGCACAGTTCGCGTAATTAAAACATCTCTTCCAGTGGAAAAAGATAAGATGGGATGGGTGGATAAGGCCGGCTCCTTCTACCCTAAAAAACTCGCTTACCTAAAATGAGTACCCGAATCTTCTCTATCAAAGCCGGTTTGATTAGGTGGATTCTGGCCACGTCTAATTCCAAGTATCCCTTTCCTCTTTTCAACCGGACTTGGATAGCGTAGCGTAGCTTCCAGTAGGGAACTAGGAAAACCACTCGATCCATTCTCAAGAATAACTTCTTCTTTCAAATCACCTAAACACCTCCCCTCCTTTTAACCTCCCTTGCTCAGAATCACTCTAATCTTACAACTTCTCATCCCATCCCATCCCATTTCCAAACTCCAACGACACAAAAGTCCTTCACACCCCATCCACAACCCCCAAAATGCCTACCAACCACCACACCCCTTCGCCTCCAACCTCACCACCAACGACCCCGCCGAAGTCTTCGCACTCAAGAAGGAGCTCCAAACATTCACCCAGATCACCGACACCCTACGGGCGCTCATCCAGGAGGAGCGACACTTCCCCATCTCCTGGGAGCGAATGAACCTCACCGAGGCGCTGGAGAATACGATGGGAAGGTGGTTGGAGATGCGAAGGCATTTGAGGGATGTTGCGCAGTTTGCGAGGGGAGCTGGGAAGCCGGTGGTGGAGGGAGAGGGAAAGGGAGAGGGAGAGGGAGAGGGAATGAATAGGGAGGGAAAGGTGGTTAAAGGGATTGTGGATGAGATTATCGAGGAGATTAGGACGCTGAACGGGGATGTGGATATGAACAAGAATACCTCTTCCCCCATCAACATCACAGAGACGAGTGCAGGTATAAATACCTCAACCTCGATCCCTATAATCCCACGTGGTATAAACGACGTACGTCCTCCTCCCCCATCCATCTATCCATCCATCCAAACTAACCCATCCATCCAGCCAACCATCCCTTCCATCCCAACCATCACCAAAACCCCATCCTCCCCCCTAACCCTCGGACTCATCCTCAGCATCTCCCTCCTCCTCACCCTCGTGGTCTTCGCATATAAACTCTACCGCTGGCACAAGTACGGGAAGCGCTCGCTGCGCACGCGGATGGAGGAGATGGAGTTGCGCGAGATGGTTGTGGGGAAGGCGTATGGGGGGCGGTATAAGAATCGGAGTCAGGTGACGAGGTATAGGGATGAGGTTGAGGAGGAGGTGGAGGTGGCTTGATTTGAGGGGTTGTAGGTGTGTTATCTAATTAGAGAGGGTTGGAATGTCTGAGATTGGTGTGGCAGGTAGGATATGGGATTTTGGTTGGTGGTTTGGGTGGGATGGAGGGGATAAGAGAGGTGGAGTTTGTTATTCAGTTATTTAGAAGGAGGAGTGTTTTGTTTTTATAATAGTAGTACTTTTGCTTTAGTCTCGAACTCGCAGGGGTTTCATTGTATTATCCTAGACTTTAGGAATATATAATTCATATAAGTTACCTCTATTTAGATATAAATTAAATTAAACCTATAATTAGTCCCGAAACTTAATACATACTAGTATAAGTCTACTTTCACTTCTATACTTATTCTATCTACTATCTAGCTAGAGCTACTTATATATAGATATTCTCGTAGACTTATAGCTCGCTTAGTTTCTCTTAAACTTCTATAAAGACTTAACCTTTAATCTAACCCCTTATCTCTAGTATTCCTTCTACTAACCCCCTATCTTTCTTTCCTAGTACAAGTTTATATAAACTTATCCTAGTACCACTTCCAATCCCACTCGCCAAAATGGTTACCTCTAAGGGGACGAGGGCAATCTAATCTACCTATAAAAGAAAATTAAATGTTTGTTTACACCAGGACTTTTGATTGCGACTTAGGGTTAGTGGGAATTTTGCTTCTACTTCTACTTACTTCTACTTACTCACTAAACTTATACCTATTTTTTGAGAAAGAAAGAAATCTCACCATATATCAAGCTTAATCCACCCTTCCCTACATGCAAGGGAAACATAAACGCAAACACCACGCATAAAATAAAATCAGTAAGATCAGTGTTGCCAATGGGTGGTTAACTATTAATTTTGAAGCAAAACCAGACCAAACCAATAAGCTAGAAGCTATAACCATACCAAACCATTAATTATTAGTAGATAACCAGTGGTTTATGGTTACCAATGGTTATTTATTGGTAACCACTAGTTAACTACGGTACGCGTTAATAAAAGTGGGGTTTGTGAAGTTATAAATTAAAAAGAAGCTATTTGCACGTCCGATTCCCGTAATCTAAAGTTCTCTTTCTTTTGTAGTAGTATACTTAAAAATTTAAAGCAATCTCCTAATATAATATGTTCTACGGGCGTCGCACCTACTCACGTGGCCACACCTAACGTGACTTTTTCAAAGCTGTACATCACGTGTATGCTGATTAAGCATGATGACTAAGCAAAACCTAGGGCCCTGGTGGGCCTAAAACACAATCTCAGGAATGCTCGCCTGTGACATACTACTACCTATCACGTATATAATGACTAAGCACAAAACTATTAAGAACCATGGTTAACCAATAATTTACGATCCCTTATAACCAAACCACTATATTTAAATGATTATACTAAAATCTTATAACCAAACCACCAATAAGCTATTGGAATGGTTAACTACCAATAATTAACCACCGATTGGCAACACTGAGTAAGATAACACGAATTCACATCACATTCAAATCAGATCACGCACATTACGCACTCCATCCGTGAACCAATCAATCGTTAGATCAAACTCAAACTCAAAATGTAGGTATGTAAAATAACCATTCATTCAATTCACATTCACATTCAAAATATCCACCAAAAGACCCCCCAAAAAAGCACAAAAGAAAAAAGGAGCCACTCCACGCCATCCAAACCCGCACCCGTACCTACACCCAGAACCCAAATCCCAATCAAACCCAAGGACCGTAAAAAGAACCGTACAAAAGAGTAAAACAAGAGACAAGAAGGAAAGAGGTGTGTCCATGTAATGTAGAGTTGTAGGTACTTCATACACAAGGTATCAAGAAGAAAAGAATCTGATACCCCAAATCTCCCTTCCCCTTTCATTCAGTTTGCACAAAGTCCACTCCCAATCACTCCACATACACCAATCTCCCATCCTGTGAATCCATACCTAGGAAAGAACTCCTGTCCTATCGTCAAGGACTATGAAAAGCCAGCGAGCAAGCAAGTAGGTAAACCACCACCCATACTTTCTCTCTTTCTCTTTCTCTGTGTGTGATTTTGTAAAAGCGGGAAAGGAAAAAGAAGAACAATGAAAGTAACGAGGGAAGATACTGTAGCCAGTTGAAGAAGCAAAAGATCAAACCAGCCACCCTACTTCTTCTCCTCGAAGTAAAATTTGCCCAATCCAGCCGAGTCAGGACTACCAAGCGGGGCCTTCTTATTACCCTCGCTCTCATCAAGTCGATCCTTCATGATTCTCTCCGCAGTCTCGACACCACCCGCGCCTCTAGCCATGACACCGTGAGCAGCAGTATCATTAGCATCATCCGAAATACCATCCAACATCCTCGCCTCTCTTCGTTCTCTCTCCACACTCGCACTAGTCACACCACTATTTTCCCTCTGCAACTGCATCGCGAGCGCACTTCGTCCAGCCGCCGGACTAGCCGCCAAATCACGACGACTATACGTCGGTCCACTGACCGTCGACCCAGCACCCTCGCCAAATCCAACAAGCGAGGTGTTGTCACTCATCCCATCCGCATCATCCATATCCTCATCCATCGCACCGGTCGAGAAGCGATCATTCTCATTCTCCGCCTCGAGGTCGCGGAAATTCGACCCACCAGCTACACCATTAACTCCATCAACACTCATCCTCTCATCCGCATCACCATCACCATCTCCACTCGCCTTCCCACTCCCACTCGCCCACGTCGTTGTCCGACCACCGAGGCTACCCGTCGCGCTCGCGGAACCAACCGTGCTAATCTTCGTCGTGTAAACTGGGTTGCCTGCTTGATCAAAGTATCCCGGGATCGCAGCAGCGCCAGCAGATTGATTTGTGCCCGACGGTCGCGCGGTAGAAACCCGCTCGAGACCTGCAAGTCGCGAGATACGGTCTGCGCGCTCGGCTTCGAGAGTGTTGGTTGAGGGAGTGTGATGGTGACCTGATCCCGTGTGAGGAAATCCAGAGCCGCGATGGCCGTCTTTGATGGCGATTGTGCTGAGGGCGGAGATGGAGGTGGTTGTTGAGTTTGGGGTTCCTCTGTTCACGTATTGCATTAGTTCAGTCCTTTACTTCTTCTTCTCCTTCGCTCGTTTGTAAAGGGAAAGACGTACGGAGCTTCAGTAGGAGTCTCTGGATTGGAAGGTGGCTCGGGCAGGTTGATGAGAGTAGGTGTTGCGGTCATGATTGCTGGTTTATTTGAATGTCTTGTCGTTTGAGAAGTTAAACTTTGTTGGTGTGGTGTTTCCTTCGGAGATTTGTTGTGTGGTTGTCGTCCGTTTGTACCAAGTATGCAAGAGAAACTTAACTACCCAGATCGCTGACGAGGTAGAAGTGCTAGCTAGGTCTCTAATTCGGTAGCTTGATCCGATCGAGGGGTCGACCTTCGTAAGGCTGTGAATGTAAATGTGAGCGTTTCAAATGCCACACACTCTCTCTCCACAATGCCACTCGACACGAGATATTTGTCCGTTCGTAAGTATTGGGAGAAATCTAGGAGCTGTGTAACTGATTCAGGTAACTGTTCAAAGTGTCGGATTCATGTGTCGTCTGCTTTGTTATAGCTAGGCCTAGGGTTCTCCCTAAAACCTGCAATGACGTACGGAGTACCTAGCGCGCCAAGATACCAAGACCACACTAACTCCAAAGCCACGTGAGATTCCCCCACATTTCCTGCACTGGGCTGGCTCGCTGGGTAGCTCACGAGCCTCACTAAGTAGGTGTACTCGTGCCAACAAAATAAATATGGGGAGAAATTCATTGATAATTGGTTGAGGTGCAGAGGTTGGGATGTGAATCCACAGAGAAAGGATCAATACAGTGCGATGTTTATTTAATGAGAAAACTATTCCTTGAGAATATGCTACCAAGAAACTGGACACATCGCCTGCAGGTTGGATCCCTAAAAGGAGAGCATTCGCTGATATTTGCCTAAAAAGGAACTGCCCAGAGTCCCTGCATATGTATATATTGCCACGAATACTAATACAAATAACAGTACCAGTGAATATATACTTCCACAATAACTCAATCCCCCTTTATAGACTAGCCTCAACCCTATGCTGCAATATCCTCCTCGCCTCAAAATTACTCAATCGCTCCAAACCTAACTTCTTCAACATTCTCTCCGCTCCCTTTGCATCGGAGAAAATCTCCTGATAAGCGTCCTTCAATGATACTTGTTCCTCATGTGCCTCGACTGGTAAACTCAATAACGCAGCGCCTTCCTTTAATTTTTCCATGCCTAGAACGGAGGCTGATCTTGACGTGGAATCAATGCAGGATTGCACAACACTTTGAATGGCAAGGATATCTTGCACGAAGCGTGCTGATCCGAGACTGGAGAAATCTTGTTTAACGAGAACTTCTTGAAAAAGAAGATCTTGGAGGTAGTCAAACGAGGAGCGCCAGATTCGACGGAAGGGTGGATAGGACAAGGTTTTGTAGAGGAAGGTCATGTTTTCTTTGAGTACCTGGGGAAGTGTTAGTACACAAATCGGGATATCCAAGGACTTATTGCAACTTACTCGAAGAGGCTGGTCTAGTTCTGGTGTAATTGCAAGAACCGAGGGAGCTGCAAGTTTGGGGTTAGAATTGTATGGAGTGAGAAAGGTGGGTAACGACTTACTTGGAGCTGAGTCGGCGCCAACGGTCGTCCATTGAGGTTTACTAAAGTACTGTCGGAAGGATGTTTGGAAAGAATACTTGACAGCCTCAATCAGAAGCGATTCGGATTTCTTTTGGAGTCGTTCAAAATTATTGATGGTGACATCAAAAACAGATCCTTCCTCTTCGGAACCAACAGCATTTGAGGTGCAGTCCTTGACTTCACCATAAGTCATTTCTCCAACGAGATTGGCGTCAACTTCTGTGACCTTGGCTCTATTCTGTAATTGATCCCAGAGATCGACAAAAAACTATGAACATTAGTATGTGCTGCTATGAAGTTCGGGGACTAGCGACTTACTTCATCGTTGCTCCACTCCTTGAGCATTGCCGTGACATAATCTGCACTGCCATACACTTTACACAGAATTTCTAGGCCCCCAACCCCTTCAAGCTTGGCCTGTTCTTCCCGGGAGATGCCATGTAACGTACGACCAACAGTGGTAGTGGCCGACATGTAAGCCTCCAGGGAGTCGTTCAGAAGTCCATAATACTGGTCAAGAATTTCCGCTTGTATGTCAATAAGAAATTTAACCTTGTGAGAGAATCTCCGAAGAGGCTGATACTGATAAGTCACAGTCTGAAGAAGATCCATAACCTTGGTCGATCCATGCGTATGCTTCGTCTTGCCAGGACTGCTACTATCAAAATCAATCTGACCATTGTCCGGAGATCTGATGATTTCACGATAACGAGCAAGGGCGAATTCTTTCTCAGCAGATAACCAAGGATTGAACCATTGGGACAATACATCCCATGTCAACCCTTTCCATCCTAGCTCAGGATTACCGGCATCATAATTGAACCTTGTTCTGAGAGCCTCATCGAATTTCATCAGTTGAGGGATGAACCGACTGAGCAATTGGGGATCGTTGATTATGTCAGTCAAAAGCAGGTCGATCTTCTCTTTCATGACCGGTAATAGAGCAGTAATGAAAGCAGCGACTGGGTCCACATATAAGCTGTTTCCTGCCAAGATACTGCCACGGAAATGAGCAGCAAGTATTGGTGATAGAGTTTCTCTAAGATAGTCTTGCCATTTTGCAATAGTTCCTATGAACCACTCAAAAAAGAATTCTCCAAGCTGAAGGATGTTAGTGAGAACTATATAGAAACAAGGGCAGACTAACTCTGTGGGTGGCATTTGTAGGTTTGTCACTGAAAAAATGATACTTGAACTGTAGTCGAAAGTTCTTGGCTAGGACGCTCATGGGCAGAAGTATCAGAGGTTCTCTTGCTGTCAAAATTTCAGGAGCTTGTAAATCCAACAGCTTTTCAAAACAGTCACTCCATTCTCTCGTCGGGGCGCGTTGAATACCAGGCCATTCTGCCTTTTTGAGAATCGCTTCAAATTCATCTGTCATGATTTTTTGCATTTCAGCCCAAAGTCCTTCCACTGCCTTCTGAACATATCCCACAAGATGTACAGCCGCGCCTTCTGCTTCTTCCTGGAGTTGAATGAGCGATATGGAAAGCTCTTTCAATTGGACGTACGATTTCAAGGCTTCTTTGGGCTCGGCAGGTAGATGGCTTCGTGCGTCATTTATCAGATCGTCCACATCCTTCAATAACTGCACGTATGCTGCTGCCAGTTCCACTCTTCGGAGCCTCTCCATAGGACCCTTTAAAAATTTCGTAGCTTCTTCAGGGCTATCCGAATTCGTCACTATCTTTAATCGCTTCTGAACACTCTTTTGCTGTATCTTGAATTGCTTTGTTTGCTCTAGCATTTTCGAAGTATAATCTGCGGAGGCTTGCTTAGAAGCATCGAGCTTGGATCTGGCATCTTGAAGCTATAGAAAGTTAGTATTGCCATACTACTCCAATAGTAGAGAGAAAATGCGAACTTGTTCCTGCAGATGTTTTGTCTGTTGTTCCACCTTGACCAGGAGCTCAGGAAGACTGGCAAAATCTGCTCTAGTCTGAATCTTGTCGTTGAGGTAATCGTCCAGCCTGACAGACATCTCCACATTGGGTACATCATCTTCGGGATCCACGAGGACAGCAACTGGGCCGCGATATGGAGAGCTCACTCGGATAGGAGTGGCACCTCCCAATGTGGCCATTATGCGATGATGCGAGGGTAGGAGCGTGCGTCCGCAAGAGCAAAGTGGCTTGAGATAGCTGTGGTTGTAACTGTAGATGGTGGGGTTGTGGGTGAGTGCAGCTGTGTACCTCTCGAGCTCTTAAAATGTGTCCGTCCACATTGTTTCCCCTTCTGCAGGGATCATCAGCCACATCCAGAACGCGACTTCCAGATGGCATCGATGACGTCTTGAGCTTCACCACAACATTCGATTTGAATTTCAACACCAAAATCCCAGACAGCGAGATATTTCAATGTTCTATCTGGATTGATAGAATTTCAGTTCACGTAACCTAGAATGCCGCTCAATACGAACACTATTCTGCGACGAGGGGTAACAGTATTCGGACAAGCAATACTTGCGAGCCGAGGAAGCTTTCGATCACTATGGCAAGCCCGGCAAAGAAGCGCAAGCTCAACAATGGCTCTAAAATCACTCCCAAACCATCTCGGAATCTAGATTTCTTCTTTGGGAAGAATAGAGAAGATGCGCCTTCAAGACCGGCCACGGATACTGACACTGCGCAGGCCTCGAATGGCCCCAGTAACTCCAACGATTCTTCTGCCTTGACAGACGAACAGCTAGCACGAAAATTGCAAGCCGAATGGAATGATGAGGATAGTAGCGGCGGCGCAGAAGAACCTGTCGAGTCCGCGGTTGCCAATGAGAAGAGAGACGCGACCGAGCTGGTCAAAGAGAATGGGTCCCCCATCAATACCGTGTCTGAGGAACCTTCAGATGAAATGGAAGCTTCCAATGAGAAGACTGCCGAGACCATGGATGCAGTTCCTTCATTGCCATCTCTGGCCTCAAAAGTTGGGAATACACTCTCATTGCAGTCGGCTGGTACTGCCGAAGATACTGTATCTTCCAACATACCCTTTGACGAAAGTCCCCTGACTTTCGACCCCTCAAAATACGTGCCAGATCTGCAAGGGCATTGGGCTGCAGAAGGTGGTAATGCATCATATGCACTGCTTACAAGATGTTTCGTGTTAGTTAACAGCACACAGTCACGTATCAAGATAGTAGATACTCTTGTCAACATGCTCCGAGTAATCATTGAAGGAGATCCCAGCAGTCTCTTACCCACGGTCTGGTTAGCCACGAATAGCATCTCGCCTCCCTACATATCGCTCGAACTTGGACTTGGCGGTTCAGCTATCTCGAAAGCCTTGAAAAATGTGTGTGGCCTAGATAATAAATCATTGAAAACACTATACGACAAGCATGGAGATGCTGGTGATGTTGCATTTGAAGCAAAGAAGAAGCAGAGTTTTACTCTTCGAAAACCCAAACCTCTCACCATAAAGGCTGTCTATCAATCGCTAGTAAAAATTGCAAACACTCAAGGCACAGGCAGTGCACAAGCCAAGCAGAGGATTGTTGATCGCCTCTTGCAAGATGCTAGAGGAGCCGAAGAAAGTCGATATATCGTCCGGACCTTGTGCCAGCATGTCAGTGACTGCATTTCTCTCCTATGCGTTTGAAACTTCGGGCTAACAAGTAAAACAGCTACGAATCGGTGCTGTCAAAACTACTATGCTCATCGCATTATCCCGTGCTTTCCTCCTATCCAAGCCCCCTGGTGCCGAGTTTCTTCTCAAGTCTCAAAGTGAGCTCGCAGGCCTGAAGAAAGAGGCTTTAGCAGAAGTCTGGGCTAAACCGGAAGAAATTGTAAAAGAATGCTTTGCAAAAAGACCAAATTACAACGGCCTCGTCCCTGCGCTTCTGGAAATTGGCGTTTGCAATGAGCTTCTTGTCCGATGTGGTCTGGCTCTCTATGTTCCCTTACGTCCCATGTTGGGCAGTATTACTCGAGATTTATCCGAAATGCTCACCAAGTTGCAAGACCGAGAGTTCAGCTGCGAGTATAAATACGATGGTCAACGTGCTCAAGTACACTGCGACAAAGATGGAAAAGTCTCCATCTTCTCTCGACATCTTGAGCTCATGACGGACAAATATCCAGATATAGTAGCACTCATTCCCAAGATTCGAGGAGATGGCGTATCAAGTTTCATCTTAGAAGGGGAAGTCGTTGCTGTGGACCAAGAAACAGGCGATCTGAAAACGTTCCAAACACTTGCCAATCGCGCTCGCAAAGACGTAGCTATTGGTAGTGTCAAAGTGGAAGTCTGTCTCTTCTCCTTTGACTTGATGTATTTGAATGGCGAGTCGCTACTCAATCGGCCATTCCGCGAGAGAAGAGAACTACTCAGAAGCCTATTCATCGAGGTCCCCAAAAGATTTACTTGGGTAAAAAACATCGACGCCACATCCCAAGACTCTGAAACAGTCCTCGAGTTCTTCAAAAGTGCCATCGACATTAAATGCGAAGGCATCATGGTCAAAATCCTCGACAACTTACCTAACCTCAAACCACCCGATTCAGCACCACCAAGCGAACCAACCACCCCTTCCAAAAACAAAAAGAAGGGAGCCACCACAGAGAAAAAGACTAGGAGGAAAGCACTTCTAGCAACCTACGAACCAGACAAACGTCTCGACTCCTGGCTCAAAGTAAAAAAAGACTACTCCACCACCTCCGACACTCTGGACCTCATCCCCATCGCAGCCTGGCACGGCCAAGGCCGCAAAGCCGCCTTCTGGTCACCCATCCTACTAGCCGTCCGCAACGAGGAAATCGGCTCGCTAGAAGCCGTCTGTAAATGCATCTCGGGCTTCACAGACACCTTCTACAAAGCCAACAAGGAGTTCTACTCCCCAGGCGGTGTCCACACACTCGAGCGCAAACCGGGGTATGTTGAGTATGAGGGCGGTCACCCTGATGTGTGGTTTGAACCGCAGGAGGTGTGGGAGATGGCTTTTGCAGATATTACGATCAGTCCGGTGTACACTGCGGCGATTGGGTTGGTGAGGGAGGAGAAGGGCTTGAGTCTGAGGTTTCCGAGGTTTTTGAGGAAGAGGCATGATAAGGGGGTGGAGGAGGCGAGTACGAGTGAGTTCCTGGCGGGTCTTTGGAGGAAGCAGGAGGAGAGGGTTGTGGTTGGTGGCGGTGGTGCGGCGGGAAAGGGCGGGGATGAGGAGGGGGAAGATGAGTGATGGGCTGGAATGGGAGTTGGGTTGTATGTATAAGTATCCTTGCTTTCTGGGATGGTGGCGTGTGATATGTACTGCACTAAAGCCATTTGAGCTTCGATGATTCCTCTGCAATTCCGATTTTCTTTTACCATGTTACATTACATGCCCTTAGCAGATTCCTTCTCATCTGTGTAATCTTACCCGGAAGCAAATTCCCTTCCCCCACAACACATTTCACATATATTTTATCTAAACATGGTTTACCTCTCAAAAAAGCCCAATTCTAGTGTTCGTGGGGATACGAATATTCCCTAATCTTTAAATCTGTCGTATATCGTATATCGTCGTCGCTTAACTCTCTAACCCACTACAATGAGCGAATATCCTCCCTTACCTTTCAACATCCCAGCATGGAAATATGCCCCGTCCGTTGAATACGTGTATAAGCTGAGTAAGAAGTTTCTTTCTATAGGTTCAAAGATCGGAAGATTATCCTACTACTATAGTCACTCTATTGAAGCGGCTTTGTACGACTATGCTGAACAGGATCAGGAAAAATTGGAAAACGGTATTTTGATAATTATTCGAATGGCTTACTTATAGATGAGTAAATCTAAAGTTTATATGTAGGTTTCTTGTTCATGATTTGGGCTACTATGTTAAGTATTTAAATTCTTGGGTAGATTGACTAGCTTAAACAATGGCAGAAATTATCTAATAGAGAACTCGGTTTGAATGGGAAGTCATTTTTGGGGGTTGACCATTTGATACTGGCTGAGTAAAGAAGAGATGGGTATGGATCTCTCGTAGCATTCTTTTGTCTTTCCATAACCCATTGATTTGAGCCTTTTCATAGAAGTTGATAGGTTTATGTTGTAAACTCTTGTGGAATTATTTAGATAAGTAGTTTATCTTACAAGCTATCAATTACGAAAGATTTCCTTCATGGCACCCTTATCAATGTTTTTCAGAGATACATTTGCATTTCCTGTGGATCGGCTAAGTGGACGTAATGTTGTAGGAATACAGTACTGTTTGACATTCAATGTATCCATCAATCCCCTCGCATTGCCCAACAATTCATGAAGTACGCAAACAGTCTTCTGTAACATATTTTCATACAACCCAAAACCAGAGACCAATACAGCACCCACTACCACTCCCACAGCCCCATCCTCCCTCCCTCCTCTTCTCAACAAGAAAACCACAAAGCCTCTAGTCCATCCCCCAATTCTCCGCAACATTGAGGAAAGAACATGAGTCTCAACCCCCAATTCATGTCCCGGGATTTTTAGGACCATAAGGTGCAGGAGGGAAAGGGGGTAAATCACACGGGGGGACCTCATTGTTGCAGTCTTCACGCGCTATCTTGGGTGCTGCATCGAGGGAGTGCGGGGTTGTGACTGCGAAAGTTGCGGAGATAGTTGCTAGTGTGAGGAGAAAGATGATCTTCATGGTTGTGGTTTTAGAGGTTGGTTTTTTTAAGAGGCGGTTGTGGCAGCTGGTATTGTGGATTTGAGAGGTTGGGTTGCTTAAGTTGATTGGGGCGGAAAGAGCTGGAATAGCTGAGGAGGAGCTTATATACCACAGATTGCATAGGTAAGGACGTGACAAAAATGGGGAACCGTCGGCGTTCGTCTTGTGCGAGTTTTACGTTTCGCTAAGGAGAATCGATGAATCACGTCAGCGTCATCTGCAGAGGAGTGCGAAACTTTGACGTTGCTTTACTCGAGTACGGTCAGTTTATGCAGAAAACAGGCTCAGGCTATAATGCTTTTTGATTTCGCTATAATGATTTTTGATCCCCTGCCGCCGCCCTCGGTGACTCGGCGTTTCCCTTTTAGCGGTGTTTTGGGTGTAAATAAGAAAAGTGCGTTCATACCTCACGGCACATCTATAACCTCACTGTCGATACAACCTCACTGTCGATACAACCTCACTGTCCTAATCGCCCTGACGGGTTAGGGTTAGCAGGTTGGGGTTAGTGGAATATGAACCCCCTTTTTTCAAAAACACAAAAGTTTTTATATATATTTCTTACGCACGCGTCGAGGTGACTACAAATATCGCCGACGTCGACAGTGAAGCACGACTACCTGCGGTGCATTTTTTGGTAAGGCAACTTTGGTGTTTTCAGCACTCCGGGGCACGGCGGACCCACCTCCCATATGCGGTTAGTCAAAAAGCATTATAGCCTGAGCCAGAAAACAGAGTGTCGAAATCGTCCCGATTGGGCAAGCCCAATATTAATGATACTTACAGTAGTTTCTTCATACTCTAATACTTTACGCTTTCGTCCACATATAGACGCTTCTAGTATTCTTCTTGATCCCTACATTATTGCTCCACTAAATCGCTGTGATACCTTGATAGATTGACTCCAAGGAGTATGCTAGTGGGGGAGGGTTAGGGAGTAGCAAAAGTTCGCAAGACTACTTACTATTTGAGTCAACTAGAGAATAGAGCTCTACGAGTCCTAAGGTAGAAATTTCTACCTACAAGGAGCTATTCCTTAGTCTAATCTTCTACCCATAAGCAGAAGGACTTCGAGCCACTTAGAGCGGAAAAACAGCGCTTATTTCTACACACTCTCGTACTTGGTGCTATCTATAAAACGTCCACGTGTGTCTTCAAACAGAGCCTAGTATTTAGACTGCCTAACATCTAGCAAATGAAACCACCCCTTCTTTCATGCATGTAATACTATAACTTTATAACATTAACATTTCCTGGGTACGTGTTCAAGTTTTAAACAATTTACTCAATAGATTCCCCACAATTCCAGGACAAAGAACGTAATACAGTCATACTAACATATACCCCTTCTTCCCTCTTCCCTCTCCCCCATTTTCAGAACGTGGACCACAAGAATACACAGTACCACCCTATTATCCCCTAGCAACAGTCGTAAAATCCAACGCACAAGCACCTCAAGCATTCTCCCTACCAGCTCCAACCACCTTCCAACCCTTCACCACCACTTCTCCTCTCTTTCGCATCCTCTTTTACTCGCATTCTTTTCATCCTCCCCTCTTCCCCTGGCTCTTGAAAGGGTGCAGCATACGGTTCCTCCAAAAGTCTAAGGTCTAAACGTAGACGGGCTCCGTAAAGAGTCAGGAACTACTTCCTGCCCTCCTCACAACTCTTTAGGGACCACCTGGCTTGGGTTTGTGCGATTCTGGGATCCCATTATCTGGATTCTGACCTGGGGGAGTGGAGGGGAATCCCGAGACGGTCGAAATGAGGGTTAAGGTGAGTAGGAGGGCTTGGAAACTCATGATTTTGATGGGTATTTAATTTGATTGATTGTTTGCTTGTTTATAGAGGCAGATAAGATCGATAGAGGTTAGGTATGTGAAGTTGGATGTTTGAAGAGAAGAAAAGGAAGAATGGGGAGGCAAGTCTACTATATACCCACCATACTGATTTAGACGAGCGCTCGATTCAGGACTAGGTAACTTTCCTCAAAAACCGCCATTCGAAAACTTAAAGCTCGGAAGGTCACGTACTGAGAAACGCAGGCATCTACCGTGTACAGGAAACAAGTAGGGCGATTTTGTTGTCTATTCGCATTTTCATGTTGTACCACTTACTACGTAATGTAAAGGGGGTGGACAGTTAAAGCTGGACACTGTCGCTGATCATAGTACTGTACGTCTCGGCGCCGCCTTTTAGCTAAACCAGCGAATCGAAGACCCATATCTGGGCGATATAGACTTTTTTCACACATGAACTACGTGACAGTGTCTAGCATTGACTGTATAACTTGTGGACAGACTTTGTTCACGGAATTTTAGTATCGGTTTGTTGGGAATAAGGTATGGACTTTATATCGAAACGCAAATAACATAATACTAGTACAGGCGTACAACCTAAATATTCCACTATATAGTTTCCACTAGCGATTATAATGATGCTAGTATAAATAGCCTTACAGGGACTGCTATATAGAAATTGATTTGAATACGCAATACCAGCAGTTTATAAGAGAACTTATAATCTGAGCATAGTATATAAGGCGTACGCACCTCTTTCAAACTAAAGATTATTTTTACAAATTACACTTAGTACAGTCGTTGAACGGCTTTTGTCCGCGTCTTATAATAGCACGAACTTAGCTACCAACTTATCGAAAGATATTAGCGACAAAACCCAATGAATATTAATAGCCAAACAAGTTCCCAAAATGGACCTACTACCCTCAAATCTCACCTACTATGATAGCTGGGCGAAACTCTAGATACACCTAGGTCAAAATAGCATATTATTCTAAAATCCTCATACGACTAAACTTATTATATATGAGCCATTTAGGATAATCCAAATTAATATGTCTTTACTCGTCTAAGTGATCTAGGACAATTGGGTTGATTGTTTTAGGAATTTTAATACAAGAGGTGCATTTAGAGTTTCGCCCAACTGTTTTACTCTTCCATCCCTTTCCGTTCATCCCGCTCATCCCAATCATCCAATCTCACCCGTTTCATCTCATCTACCTAATTCCAATCCATACTTACCAGCATAACTTACAAACTCCGGGGTAAGAGAACATGTGGGTACAAGAGTGTCATTTGTCTTCCCAACCAGGCTATCCAATCCCGAAGGACACACCCGGTTGGTATTTAGACTACAAAGTACTTTGTAAGTCCAGATTTGACCACCCCATTGGGTACGCTACCGAATGACGCACAATCCACGAATCTTCCCCAGAAGGTCCTTGATACATTTCATCTCGTACATTGCATATCATGAATTCCATCATCCCCAAACACTGAACACTGAAAACCGGACCTAACACACCTGTAGTCACCAACACCATATAGCCCACCTCGTCCCTCGGCCCCTCCTCCCATACCCAAGAAGAACCCCCCGAGTCAACTTCCACCCCTCTGCCCAAGAACGTAACAAAACCCTATCGCTTCCCATTTGGAGGAGGAAGACGAAGCACCTTGGGAGGCGGCGGACAACTCTTGATTAAACAGTTGTCGCTCCCGTCGTTCCTCTTCCCTACTGGTCGCTCGTGAACTGGGCGAGGGTCATATACCACTCTCGGGAGACGTTGATGGAGAGAGAGTGCCGAGACAGCCGATGCGAGCGCCACGGTGAGGATGAGAGTAAGTGATTTCATGACTTTGGTAGGTATTTGATTTGGTTGTTTGTAAGAGACTCGATATTTGAAGTGGTGTTTTTTTTTGAAGAAAAAAGGAAGAGAAAGGAAGAGGGGACGTCTTTTATATATACTGCACAGCACGATTCGGGGGGGTTTTCGGACCTCGTGGCTCGCATTTATACTCGGTATGTTCCATGTAAAGTAAAATCTAAACTCTTTATGACATGTTTGTCGCGGTATGCGCGCCTTGTACACTATGTCCACCCATGGTGGCAGCACCATAAACCAAGGATCTACACTCCCAGTGTCAGCTTGACTCATAACGAGTATAAGGAACGTTTGGCCCGCACGTGGATTGAAAAGCAAGTACCACTCCGAATGTATCAATCTGGCGTATTCAGAAGTGTACCATATATATATTATCCCCTAAAGGTCGTATATGTACGTCTGGGTTTTTAGATTCGCGATTTCCTATTTGAGTGAGCGGTTAGACCGGTCGTAGTAAAGCTTAGGCGAGCTATAAGGTGTAATCCGACTTGCTCCGTACTAATTAAGTAGTACTATCGTTGAGGGCCAAGACCCAAAAGTAGATACCTTAAACTTAAACCAGATATAGAAGTACGAGTATATACGACCTTTAGCTAGGGGACATATACGCTAAACCAGCTTTCAGGGTACGAACTCCGTAAACTCGCTTATTTAACCAAACGTTAGTACTAGAGAGCACATAAGTTAGTAAAGAGTAAACTAGTATTTAGAAAGCTAAGAACGCTATAGAATGTACACTTCTTAAGAATAACTTATACTTACATGTTATTAAGTTAGATAGAAAGTAATATATATTACTTAAGAACAAGGGACTAATTATAAGGGCAAGCGTAAGCAAGGGTAAGAAATACTAGACTTAAATACCTCTAAAATCTGCTAGAAGAAATCTATAATGTAAAAAGTAGATTATTTTACTTTCTTTGTTAACCTTTTAGTATAACTATTGCAGTTGTACAAGGCTTTCGAATAATATGATTGTAACTTTGGCATGTACAGAGGAAGACCATATACCTTACCAAAGTAAATGTCGCGGAGTCACCAACCTACGATGTCAGGTTATTTGCTCTCACTATCAATATTCATCTCAACCACACATCGCCTCTTCATCAAACATTTTCTTACGACCCAATGAATCTGACTGGCGTCCCAAAAGTAGGATGACTGAGATGGAAATTGGAGATTTTGGCATCCTTTTGAATCAGATTGGGATGTGTTCCTAAAACAGGGCCAGCGCAGAATGATATCCTCATGTATAGACTTCTCATATATAAAGTAGAGATACTTCTTCCTTTCCCCAATCTCTAACTCCCCAAAAACTCCTCATCCAAAACAAAAATCACCTAAAACATGTCTTCCTCTACACCCACCAACAACATCAGCATGCACGAACGCCGGGTAAGTCACCAAACCCCCACCACGCCCAAAAACTAACTCCAGCTAACAGAAAGAACTCTCTATGGAACTTAAACTCATGATCCTCTCCCACCACGTCTCCAACCAGGTCTCCCACCTCTTAGACCACGCAGAGAAAATCGTAAGCGAGAAAGGTACACTAATCGGTGTCCGAGTACACCAAGACCCCCAAAATCCCCTGACCTTAAACTATAATGTCTGGTGGGATACCCGCCAATGCTTTCTACGTGCTTTGTTTGAAACGGCTAGTAGCAGAGAAGATATTCCAGAGGTGGAGTTTCAGATGGTGTCTTTGTTTGATACACCCCCCAAGAGATGCCTCACATTTTGGAATGAAGATGCGGCTCCTTCTGATAGCGATACCGAAGGTTTGGCTTTTGGGACTGTTGGTATGACTTGGTGGGATGTGGTTGTATTTGTGGGGGCTGAAATAAAGGGGGAAGTGAAAGGAAGCGAGATAGAGAATAGGGACCATTCCTTGAAAGAGAGTGGATGAAGAGTTTGTTTGATATTCAGTCAATTATCGTTGAGTTATCTTGTTCATTTCACTTCAATATAACGTACACCTTCTTTCCAAACGGCCCAACTTCCTAGCAAACTTCCATCTTCAATTCACATAAAACCCATCTTCCTTACTTCCCTTCTTCTCTCCATCCTTCCCCTCATCCTTCTCAAACACCGTACCCGCAAAAGTAGGTACATCAAAAGTGCCCTCAGGATCAACACCCTTCTCCAAAACGAACTTCTTCACCCTCGACACCTCGCCTCTAACCTCCCCCAGCAACGTAGTAACCACAACAGCCATATTTTCATTCCCCTTCGCCCCCTCTTCCAACGCCTTCTCCATAACATCATACCGACTAACCCCATTACGAAGCAACATATCAAACGGCGTAGTCGTACTCCCCTCCTCCTTATAACACCCCACACTCACCCTCTCCAAATTCGGCCGTCCAAACAGCAAACCACGCAACTCATTAGCATACCCATGGTAATTAAAGATAATCGGTTTATCAGCCGTAAACAGCGCCGAGAAGGCCTCAGTACTAAGCGCATGAGGATGTTGCGTTGCAGACTCCAGGATCATGAGGTCCGTTACGTTGATCACTCGTACGCGGAGGGCGGGACACCTTTTACGTAAGATGGAGGCAGCGGCTACGACTTCGAAGGTGAGTTCTGAGCCGATGCCTACGAGGACGACGTCGGGTGAGAGACCTGAGTCGGTGGATGCGAATTTCCAGATGGAGGCGCCGGCTTGGCAGTGTTTTTCTGCTTCGTCGACGGAGAGGAAGACGGGTTGGGGTTGTTTAGAGCCGACCATTAGGTTGACGTAGTTTTTGGATTGAAGACAGTGGGAGATAGTTGAGAGGAAGGTGTTCTGTGGATATTTGTTAGCTCATCGTGGGTTTTCACACGTCAGACACGATTAGACTTACTGCATCAGGAGGTAGATAAACCCTCGCAGCACTCGGCTTCAAGTTCAACACTGCTCCAATGAAAGAAGGGTTCTGATGCGAAAAACCATTGTGCTCTTGTCGTGTCCAAGTACTGGTCTCCAAATAGTTGATACTGCTTAAGTCCGTTCTCCAAGTCGTCTCTCTTGCCATCTTATTGAATTTGCAGTATTGCACCATCATAGTATGGATGATTCCCAAGAAACTCTCATACGTAGGGAAGATACCGGTACGTCCAGTAAGTGTATAACCTTGAAGAAATCCTTGACAGGTATGCTCGGAGAGGATCTCAATAACCCGTCCACCTCGTGCGTTTGAGAATTCATCCCATTGGAAATCTCGACCAGTGTGGTTCAAAACCGCATCTAGCTTGTTCGACACCAACTCATCTGGAGAGAAGATACGAAGTGACTTAGGGTTGTCGACTAGAGTTTGGTCGATGAGGTTGGCGATTGCTTTCATACACGATTCTTCACTTCCTCTATCCACGCCAAATTTCTTCCAGTCTGGGACCTTCAATGGCTCGTGATTCTTATAAGTCTCTGCAACTTGTCCGAGTTTCTTTTCGTTGTCCACGGGAATGACACTATTGATTGAATCGGTGGGGGCGCCATCTTCAGTAAACAATTCCTTCGGATTGTAGGAAAGAAGCCACTTCTGAAGATCTGCAAGTTGACTATCGCTAGTCTTTGCAGCCATGAGAGGGACTTGATGAGAGTGGAAAGAGCCCTCAACAAATTCTCCATCTACTTTCTTTGGTCCACTCCAGCCTTTTGGGGTCCTCATAATGATAAATGGCCAGCGAGGTTTCATGATAGGCTTTCCAGATCTGGCAGCCTTTTGTATTTTATGGATCTCATCAAGCGCCCATTGAAAGCTGGTCGCAAGATCACGATCCTACTAAATATTAGCCACCATTTCCTTTCGAGTTCAATTTCTTAACTTGCGATATCCTCAAGATCCTCCACGAACCTGCACTGATATCCATAACCAGTAAATAAAGAAACCAGCTCCTTATTATCCATACATCCATAAATCGTTCTCTCCGAAATCTTGAATCCATTTACATGAACAATCGGAATAACAGCTCCAGATTCCGCAGGATCGATGTATTTGGCAGCATGCCAGGCAGTAGCAGTAGGTCCACTCTCCGCCTCTCCATCTCCTACAATACAACCGACAATCAGATCCGGCTTATCCATTACAGCACCAAAAGATACGGAAAGCGCATAACCCAACTCGCCGCCTTCGTGTATAGAGCCTGGAGTTTCGGCATTGATATGACTGGGAAAGCCTTTAGGTGTGCTGAACCCAGTTATGAGGTTATGTAGACCTTGCTTATTTCGAGAGTATTGAGGGTAGAATCGTTCGAGGCTTCCCTCTAACCAAAGGGAAGCTAGGATAGCTGGTGCTCCATGGCCTGGTCCAACGACATATATGGTGTTGAGGTTGTTTTTGCGAGTAAGGTAGTTAAGGTGTGCATATACAAGCGTGAGACCGGGACATGTTCCCCAATGACCTAGTAATCTACATTTATTAGCTAATGGAGAGACAGAAAAGGAAAAAGAAGATGAGAAACCGAGGTTTAATATCGTCGAATTGGAGATCTCTTTCTACCAGAGCATTATCGCTCAGGAATATCATAGCTATGTACTTTAGCAAACAATTGTCCTAGATGGGGAGTGGTGTCATAACTCACCAGCTGCAATGTAATTGCTCGCTCTGCGAAACTCATCGAGTGCTTTGAGATCAGCATCGTTAATATCGAGCTTATCTAGCTTAACCGACAGATCCAGTACGGATTCGGGGATATGAGAAGCCAAAGGCTGTGGGTTGGCTCTGTCAAGTTCTTCTCCCGGCATGCTGATTAATTGTAGGACAAATTATCGACGGAAAGAGAGGAGATTCAGTGTAATTTCTGAAGAGAAGAGGAGCGATAATCAAGAAGAAAGAGTAGGATTAGAGAGTAGCCAAATTGTTCAGGAAATTGCAATAAATCTATGCATAGAGGGGTAATCGGTATCTAGTTCCTGAGCCAATTACTAATTCAGACCATTCACCCTTTCCAAGAGACGTCACTCCAAACGGGAATTACGGTCATATGAAACCGAAAATCCACATGGCAGCTTGCCACATGGTAGACATGGCGTTCGAGACGCAGAAGAAAGCAGGCAAACAGGTGGGGGTTATCGATTAACATCGACGTCATCCACACTTAAGGCTGAATATGTCAGTAAGCTCTTGGTAAATTCCCTCAGTCTTCTGAGTATCCTTATACTCCTCATAAAGCTCTTGAACGTGTGATCTGTTAGTTATCGTGATTGCGCCATGGAAACTCATAGTTTTAACTCATATGGGGAGTTTTCAGAGTGGTCTGATGAAAACAGACGTTGAAAAATGGTGAAGTTTGTACCCCTGCATTGGTCCCGTACCCCACTTTTCTAATTGCGATAGGTTTAGCGACTCGCTTATGATAAGGAGGTGGTCTGATAGAACGTCCAACAACGTCATACCACGAGAAACTGCAGGGGTCATATCGGGAATCTCCCGTTAAGATGGGTTGATATTGAAATGCAAGTAACAAGACGAATTGACTTTTCATAGAAATAAGGAAAATACCTAACTCGACTTGAGATCACTAAATTTAATATCCTACAAACTTTCCATGCACCATGTCCAAAACAATCCTCTCCATAAACGCCGGAAGTTCCTCCGTCAAAATCTCCATCTACACAACAACCCTCTCTCAAAACCCCCAAGAAGCCGCCGAAATCCAACTCGACAACCTAACCTCACCCCCCGTCCAACTAAAATACACGCGAGGCAACACCTCAATCGCTAAAGACCAAAAAATCGAGGATCAAAAAATCACCACGCAAAATGAGGCTTTTCAATACATGTTAAACGTCCTTATCGACGACAAGGACCTGCCCCAAATCAGCAAGAAAGAAGATATCACCATAGCCTGTCACAGAGTAGTCCACGGCGGCTACTACGACACACCGAAAATCATAAACGAGGAGACGTATCGTCATATCGAGGAACTCACAGATCTCGCACCTTTACACAATGCCGCCGCGTTGGAAATCGTAAAGTTTTGTATCAAGGAAGTGAAGAGTACGAAGAATGTAGCGGTTTTCGATTCGCAGTTCCATCAGACCATTCCGGAGCATATTAGGACGTATCCGATCAACCAGAAGATCGCGAAGGCGAATAAATTGAGGAAGTATGGGTTTCATGGGATTAGTTATTCGTTTATTACGCGAAGTGTGGCGGAGTTTTTGGGGAAGAACGAGGGGGAGACGAGTTTGATTGTTTTGCATCTGGGGAGTGGTGCTAGTGCTTGTGCGATTAAGGGGGGGAAGAGTTGGGATACTAGTATGGGACTGACTCCTTTGGCTGGTCTTCCTGGTGCTACGAGGAGTGGAAGTGTGGATCCTAGGTAAGAACTATCATCTCGCATCTCGATTTACATACTGAAACTGATTTTTGAATAGTCTGGTATTTCACTATGCTTCAGACGTTGGGAAACTTGCTCCAGGCTCTACCAAAGATCTCCATATCTCCCAAGCAGAACAAATCCTCAACAAAGAAAGTGGATGGAAAGCACTCACGGGAACGACGAACTTTGGAGAAATAGCTTCATCATCTGACCCAGAGAAGAAACTTGCCTTTGACATTTTCGTTGATCGAATTTGTAGTTACATTGGAAGTTACTATGTGACCCTCCACGGAAAAATGGACGCTTTGGTATTTGCAGGAGGAATTGGAGAGAAGAGCTATTTGTTGAGGAGGAGAGTGACGGAAGAGTGCGAATGCTTGGGCTTCGTTATCGATGAAAAGAAGAATGGTAAGAAGATAGAAGAGCTCGTACAAGACGTTGGCAAGGAAGGAGCGAAGCATAGGACGTTGGTTTGTCAGACCAATGAGCAGTTTGAGATGGCAAGATATTGTGCTATGGATGAAAAGCTTTTCAATTGAAAATCCTCCAAAAAGAAGGAAAACCTTATTGATAATTTAACAAGTTCATCATTACTCAAGCATTCGCCTTCTGAGGATAATAAAAGGCGCCATCAATAGTCGTTGTTCAATTCTAGCTTCATATGGCAAGTGAAGCGGTTATAGTAACCAGTCTGTTAATGTTCTAATTCCGAGAAAACCATTTATTTACCATTGAATGAAAGAATACCGAAAGCGATGGTGGTAAACCACCCCCCCTTTTTTCTCTCGGCTGTGCAAGGATCGCAGTAAATAATGCAGAAGACCGACTCAATCTTGAGAGTTGTACCTGCAGTTCTTCCAAATACTCTTGCATTACCATTACTATTCCAGATACAACTAGGTAGACCTAATTCCTACTTAACACAAAAAGTGGCTATCCCTCTAGTTCCAATGATGATGGAACTTTTCAAAAACAAAAAAGATATCTAAAATCAGGCCCCCTGTACGTAATCCAACAACCCCTGTCGAAATTCCCCCATCGCAATTCAGGAAATCCATCTTCAGCACAACATCACACCAATTGCCCATCAACCACAAAATTCTCTTCTCCCCAGATTCCCCTAATTCTTTCTTTCCTCAAACACACCAACAACACATGAAATGACCACCCTCCTCCACCGCGGTCCGCTGCGCGCCGCCTCCCTCTTCCAACGCGCATCCCCTCCCACCACTATTCGCCTCTCCTTCTCTCCCTCAACCCCAATCACAATTCGAAGACCACCACCCCTCCACCTCTACGCCTCAACCGCCCCCTCTATCCCCGAAAAAGTACGAAAAGACACAATCAACCCCCCAGCCTCCACACGCCCCGCACCCATCGAAACGCCCCTCCGCAAATCCTACACCTCCCTCCCCAAGTACCTCTTCGCGCTCGGCAAGACCTACGCAACCTTCTACAAAACCGGCGTAAAAAGCATCTACCACAACTTCCGCGCCGCACAAGCCCTCGAAGACCGCANACCTCTTCGCGCTCGGCAAGACCTACGCAACCTTCTACAAAACCGGCGTAAAAAGCATCTACCACAACTTCCGCGCCGCACAAGCCCTCGAAGACCGCATCGTCTCGCACCAATCCCACGCGAACGCGGTTGCCGCGGGGGCCCTCACACGCGCCGACTACCAGCTCGTCCTGCGCAGCTGGCACGACCTAAAACGAGTCCCTTTATTCGGACTACTCTTCATCGTATGCGGGGAATTCACACCATTGATTGTCGTGGCGGTGAGTTCCATCGTGCCGTGGACGTGTAGGATTCCACGGCAGATAGCAGCAGATCGGCAGACTCTGGAGACGCGGCGGGGGATCTCGTTTAGGAACTTGACTTCTTCGCCTCCTTCTGCCGCACAACCAGTGCTCAATCGCCAACAACTGCTTCATATCTCCTGGTCCCTAGGTCTCAGCTCCAAGATTTGGGACTATGTAAACCCGGGGACTCTCCCAGGACCCCCGGATTTTATATTGAAGAGCCGGGTGAGGGAGCGGGTTCGGTACTTGGAGTTGGACGACAAATTGTTGTCGGAGGCTGGGAAGGAGATCAAGAAATTAGAAAATGATGAGGTGAAAATGGCGTTGGTAGAACGAGGCATTGATATCCTACAACGAGGCGATGAGGAGTTGATGGCTTCGTTGGAGGCGTGGTTGAAATCTAGAGGGAAGGGGAGGAGTGTGGAGAGTTTATTGTTGACTCGGTAAGTGCTTCAATTCCTTCCATTATATTTTGACGGGAAGCGAGGGGAGAGGAAAATCTCGAGAGAGATAAAAGGAGAAAGCTAATAATCACAAGGCCAAACGTCTGGCCAATACCACCAACGTCTCCCAAAAAAGATTAATGTAAAGATTAATATGTGGATATCCACCCATCCATCATTTCATTATACTCAACAATCATCACCAACTGTATCGACTATGTACAAAAAACACACCATGTAGATCATCATTACCTACCAGCGAGTAGAGCAGAGAGATGCAGAAGACTAGAATACGTCTGTACAAGATCAGGTTCTCATTCCGATTCCTGTTTCAAGTTGTGTCTGCGACTGCCGGGGCATTTGGCTAGGCAAACCAACCAACAAACTCCTCCTGTAACAATATACTGTACCATCATACCAAACGTACCTAGAAGTAGGGAGAATTCATCTCAATGATAGAAGAAGAAAACAAATTACAAATCCGCGATGTGTTAGGTATCTCATCCTGAACTCCAATCAAAAAGACTACCCCCCATCCATTCATTCATTCCATTCGCATCCTAAACAAACAAACACCAGAAGATGCCCGCGCAAGCATTACTCGTAAGAGATCATGGTCGGAACTTGGCAAGCGAGGCCATGATACTTTGAACCTGTTGATCCGATTGTTGTGGGCCTCCTTGCGTATTTTGCATACTGCCATTGAAGAATTGAGCCAAAGCCGGATTAGATGCAAGGTGAGCGTATGGATCAGCAGTAGAGACGGCTGGTGGTTGGCCATAGCTTGGCTGCTGCGGTGCTTGTGGATGGTTGAGTTGTGGCTGATGATGCTGCTGTTGTTGCTGGAGACCCCCAAGAAGTGCAGCGAGGTCGATTGCAGAGTTTGCAGATGCAGCTGGTCCATTTTGGTGCCCATTTTGGATGGGAGGTGAATTAATGGAGCCCAACAGACTTTGCAAGGCGTTGTTGTCCAATTGGCCAATGATATTTCCAAAATTGGGGACCGTGGCTGTTGTTGCTACGGGTGCTTGGTTATATTGTCCGTTTGGGTAAGGTACTCCGTATTGAGGCATTTGTGGTGGTTGCGGCGCAGAAGAGTCTTGTTTAGCACGAACTACAAGTTCAGCTGCGACCTTCGGTTCTAGATCTTGATACTCATCAAATCGAACATTGTTGGCCCCACCTTGACGATCAAAAACTTGCAGTGGAACTCGGCTGCTGTTTTGAGATTTCATATTCAGTTGAGAGACTGCGTGAACACCTTCGAGGATTTGTCGTCGGATGACAGTTTCGAGTGGGAGACGTGGGCTAAGAAACATGACCTGTGTCTTGATTGCACGGGCATGGAATTCGCCCTCTACCCATTGGACGAAGCCCCGATCAAGTTGGTCCATGAGAATGATTTGTACGTCAGGCACATCACGTGGGTCTCGTCGTGGGATATCAAGTTCCATATCTTCATGTGCCTCACGTCCTCTTGGACTGAGACTTCTCCCACGATATCGTGGGTTGTCTCTATATGGGGATCGGGAACGACTTCGACGACGGTCTCGGCTATCATATGGGTCTCTTCCACGATTACCATAATCATCTCGACCACGAAGAGAGGTTCGGGGTGGTGATGGTGATCTGACCGGACGATAATGGCGACCATAGTCGTCTCGAGGATTAGCTCTGCCATCATAAGAATCGCCTCCAGAATTTCTATTGCCACGTCTTCCGTTCTTGTTGTCTCTTTGCGGTGATCGGGATCTACGAGTAGGTTGAGCTTTTGGTTGGGCGTTGCGGGTATTCTTTTGTGGCTTTGAAATTTCAAGATCTGCCAAGTTGTTTAGTATATGCAACAGCAAGGAGATTGTCCATATCCACTTACGCATTTTACGTCCCCTGACTTCAGCCCCTTGCTCATTCTGCAATGCTTTGTAGCATGATGCCGTATCATGGAATTGTATGAATCCGTATGCTGGCTTGATCGAAACTTGTGCAAGCTTCCCATACTTATGGAAAACATGGAATAGGTCCCGCTTGGTGACTTTATCTGATGGAAGATTTCCTATTAAGTTTCATCAGAATTGGACTGTAGTAGCTATCGAAACCCTTTACTTACCTATAAACAAACGAGAGCCTGCTGGAAATGTATCCCATGAACCTTGTGTAACATAACCACGCTCATCAGAAAGGAATTGATCGTAGATCTTCTGCACGTCAGGTCCCCATCGTTTCTCAATGTCATCATGTTCATCTTGGGCCACATTGCCAGCAGACTGGGCTTGGGCAGAATGTCCATTGAACTGGGTGTGAGGAGACTGGCTAGTAGGGCTTGCAATTGATTGAGGAAGTTGTGCGAAAGATGCAGATGGAGGAGGGGGTAAGCCATTAATACCAATACCTCCCATGCTAGGCGGGGCCCCACCTGGTGCTCTATATGCAGCCGACTGTTGGAGAACACCAGGAGGTCCTGCATGATACTTTTGAAGGTCATGGTTGCTGTAGGAAATATTTTGAGGCACCTGTGGACGGGGTGGGAGGCTTGAGTGGGCAGGCAGGCCAGATTTAGGAATGTGGGAAGATAGAGTGGATGGAGATTGGGCTGTGGCTGCAGCTGCCTCATTTTTTTCTGCTTTCGCAGTGATATTGTCGAGCAGTTGTTGAATGTCTACGTCACCATTCTCGATAGCCTCATAAGTATGGATGGATTGGGAAGTCGCGGGTTGGGCTGGAGCTTGAACAGCTGGGCTATTGGACTGAGGGACGTTGGTGATGGAGGGTGTGGGAGCCGCGGTGGCTGTACCTGTACGTGGGTGGGAGGAAATTCGAAGTGGGATGGCGACTTCTTCGTCGGTGATGAGAGAGGCAGAGGCAGAAGCTCCACCTGGGATTGGAATGACTGGGATAGATGTGGATGTGGACGACGCAGGTAGATTGGCGAGCACTGTAGAAGGAAGAGAGGCCGAAGCCGTCGGTTGCTCAAAATTTGCCTGTGTTATATCCTGACTATCTGTCTCTATTCCTTCGCCTTCTGAATCAAATGTCATGGCATAGTCGCTAACTTCAGTGCCTTGTTCGACTCTCCCCGCTTGCTGTGCCTCGGTTGGCCCCTCTTTGTATGCGTCGGAGAAGTTCGAGTCGTCGGAGGTGGGAGTATCGACGGCCATGTTATTCAAGATGACCCCGCCCGCCGCCATGGGTCCGAGACTTTGGAAGAGCGTGTTCGCAGTGTTCGGAGTGCCTGTTTTGACCGCACTGACGGTATCGGCAGTCATGCCCCTTGGTGTTGAGGCCAATAAGGGCGGGTACGAGGCTGGATTGATAGTGGGCCCTCGAGTATTCAGTTGGTGGGGCTTTTTTTGCACAGTTAGAAAGCGTAGCTAGCTTGAGAAGCTGCTGAAGCAATGGATTGCAGGCTCAGAATGAACTATGTGGGAGGCTGGAATTGGGGATTAATGTGCTCAAGTGCAACCAATCCTCGATCACAAGGACAGCTTCAAGGGCAAGGCTGGAGGGCTCAAGGACTCAATCTCTGAACCAACCAGATCTGAAGTGCAAGATGGACTGCTAATGGGCTGAGATCTGTACCCTCAGATGGCAAAATCAAGGCGCGTTGCATGCACTGAAGATGAGGGACTGGGATGGAGGGTGGAGGATGCTGAGTGATGGACCGACTCGAGTCTGAAAGGTTACCGTGCAGAGAGGGAAAGCGATACTTTGGCGGAACGTAGGTGGCTTAGCCGATCTTGGAGATTGATTGCGCGAGAACGGAGGATATGCGTGTGGTCGGTGATCGGTCACTGGGAATTGCGCGAAGGATGCTGAGCAGAGAGGAAGAGTGGTGTTGTCGGCGCGTGTGTATGGATGAGGAGAAATGAGCGCAAGGAAGCAGAACTCGTGGAGGTGGTGGTGGGAAGAATGTTAGGGGATCCGTAGAGTCAGTCTAGATGCAAGCGGAGGGTCAAGAAAAAATCATAGGAAGCCAGTGGAGGGGCACTGATCGGCTAACCCCATTAGGCGGAGTAGACACTAACAGACTAGACTAGGTTCACGGCCAAAACCCACTTCACTGCCCGATCGCATGAAAATAAGATGTGAAGAGCACACTTTGGGGGTTTAAGAAGCTCTAGGCTGTATTGCTTTTCTGCTGGGTTTGATTCACTAGACGTGTTTATGGATCAATATATCATAACTAGACAGTGAGGGAACGGGTCGAGCGGGTATAGACATCGGTTCGTAGCTGCAGGTGGCGGTAGCAGGTAGCAGAGTACCATAAACCACCTATGCTTACTAAAGCTGCTATCTCAGCTTTAAATGGTTTAAACCTAGCAATTTTTCACGTTCCTTGATGCTAGTTTTCAGGTTGGAAGAAAGATGTAGGAAGAACTAGAGGAAAGGTTGAGGGCTGGTGGTTGTATAGGTAGTGGAGTGTTGTGGTTGAAAGTATGAGAAGGAGATAGGCGATAAGATACCGACTAGCTGCAGGGGTCTGGCGCAGAACAGAAAAAAGTCTGGAGCAGCAAAAAGACAAGCGCAAGAGGAATCCGATAGACACAAGCAACCATGACAGTCGGCTCAACAAACAACCTCTAACAAATCACTACACTACTGTTCGCCTCTGCAATATGCCTTCATCCGTCGTTCAGAGCACCTCTGATGGTCCCTTGGTGAAGAGGCAGAAGCTCAATGAGCTGGATGCGCGCAGGAATACCCCCCATCGAGAATCGAGGATATTTACCCCATTTCGGGTAAGTAGCAGACCTCTCTCCCAAAGAATCCAGAGAGTTAATGCTCGCAGACCATTGGTTTAGTATCCTCGACACCTGTACCGTTTACCTCGATTCCATTGGGAAAAACCAGCTTCCAGATTACCACTTCAGTGGGACGGTGTCTGCAAACTTATGATCTCAAGCGCGGCCTGAATTTGGTCTTCTTGACGCGACCGCAAACACCAGAAGATATCACAGCGACAATCGCATACAAGGATAGGGTATTTGCGGCATGGGGAGGTTCCGATCCAGAGTCCACGCGCGGGGTCTCTGTATTCCAACGAGGGAAAGAAATCGACAGGTTGGCTTTACCTACGGATCTATCACAGCCAATCAAGCAATTGCTTGTTTTTGGTTCGTGGATTGTAGGATGCTGTACCACCCGGATTGAGGTTTGGAAATCGACTACGTACGAACATTACACCACTTTATATCCGGCTGCGGCGCAAAAAGGGAAGAATGAACTCACTGGTGGCCTTACTAATATGCCCACCTATTTGAACAAGATTTTTGCGGCAAGAAAAGATGGGAGCGTGGAAGTTTGGAATGTGAGCTCGGGAAAACTCATATACACAATCTTGCCTCCTGCAGCAAACTGCGGTGCCGTCACCGCTTTACAGCCTTCGCCCGCGATTTCATTGTTGGCAATAGCTTATTCTGAAGGTCCTCTGACTGTCCATGATGTACGAACCGACAAAGCGATAATCCAATTGAATGGTAGTCAATCTGGAGCTGCAGTTACCTCTATATCTTTCCGATCCGACGACCTTGGTGCTGGGGAAGATGGACGGAAACCAGGAGTCATGGCAACGGCGGGCTTGGAAAATGGAGACGTAACATTTTGGGATCTGAACAATGGCGGGCGAGTGATGGGGGTTCTCCGAGGCGCTCATAATCCCCGATCAAATTCTGGATCGACCGTAGGTGGAGGTATAAGTAAAGTGGAGTTCCTGGCAGGGCAGCCTGTAATTGTCACAAGTGGACTCGACAATTCCTTGAAAACTTGGGTATTCGATGAAACGCCATTTTCTGCAATACCTCTGATTTTGCATTCTAGAAGTGGTCATGCGGCTCCAGTCACCAAATTATTATTCTTGCCAACAGATTCCGATGGGGCAGATGCTGGAGGAAAATGGTTGCTCAGCGCCGGGCAAGACCGAAGTTTATGGGGTTGGAGTTTGCGAAAAGATGGGCAAAGCACAGAGCTCAGTCAAGGAAATATCAGAAAAAAGGCCAAAAAGATGGGTGTATTGGCTGGTGTTTCACTTGCCAATGAGCCCAGTACGACCTTGGACGACTTGAAAGCACCTGAAATAACCTGTCTGGCCATGTCTTTGAATCGCGATGGTGGAATAGGAGCCAATCCAGGAAACGGTGCATTGTGGCAAAGGGGTAATCAAAGAGACAAGAAACCGACCGATGCTACTTTGAGTGGAGTTACTGGGTGGGAAAGTATTGTCACAGGTCACCGAAAAGATAAACTCGCTCGAACATGGTTTTGGGGTCGAAAAAAGGCTGGAAGATGGGCTTTTGAGACTGGAGATGGCGGGTATGTTAGTAGTGTAGGAATCAGTCCTTGTGGGACCTTTGCTGTTGTTGGGTCAGAAACTGGTGGAATTGATACCTTCAATTTGCAATCTGGCCAGCATCGACATAGATTTCCCGCAAAACTTACCCCTGCCCAGGCAAGAAAAGTCAAACTCGAACAACTACAAGCTGCGGAATCACTTACTTTGCATTCAAAACCGAAGAAATTCAGCATGGGGCTAGGAAAGCACACGAAATCAGTCACTGGGTTGGTGGTGGACTCCCTGAACAAGCACCTTATAAGTTGTTCTCTGGATGGGAAGATTAAGTTCTGGGACTTTGCACATGGCCATTTGGTTGATGAAATTGACTGGCATCCAATGGCGGCCATCACAGGAATTCGTTATCACGCTCCCAACGATCTGATAGCCGTCACAAGTGATGATTTGTCAATCAGAGTTGTGGATGTGGAAACGAAAAAGACGATTCGAGAGTTATGGGGGTGTACGGGTGCTATTAATGACTTTTTGTTTTCGAGCGACGGACGATGGATAATAGCCGCTTCAAGTGACTGCATTGTACGAGTCTGGGATCTGCCCGCTGGACATTTGGTGGATGCGATAAGAATGAAGACGCAATGTACCGCACTTGCATTTTCTGCGACCGGAGAATTTCTTGCGACTACCTGTGAGGGAGAAATTGGTGTAAACATTTGGAACAACAAGACTTTGTTTACTCATGCACCAACGCGACATATTTCCGAAAACGAGATTGCGGATATCGCAGGACCAACAGTTTCAGGTGAGGGTGGTCACGGTCTCATCGAGGGAGCATTCGTGGAAGAAGAAGAGAATACTGAAGATTCGGCGCCTCCTCTGTCTATAGAGCAGTTGAGTATCGACATGATGACTTTGAGTATGGTCTCAAAAAGTAGATGGCAAACCCTGCTCCATCTGGATCTTATCAAGCAGCGCAACAAACCAAAGAAAGCCCCCAAAGTGCCGGAAAAAGCACCTTTCTTCTTGCCGTCATTAGAAAAGCCAATGCCTGTTATTGCTGGCGTTGAAGAGAAGAAAGCGGATGATACCACCGTTGAACGATCACGAATTATGAAGATGGACCGAGTAGCATCCGACGGCGCATTTACCATCGCTCTACGATCAGGTGGTGACAGTGGTGATTGTAAGTCATTAATCACCCCATACTATCATTAATCTCAAACTAATTAAATGTTTTAGATACTCCATTCATCGACCATCTCAAGACCCTCTCACCCTCCGCCGCAGACCTCGAGATCCGCTCTCTAAACCCAGGTTTGGAATCAGAATCCGACGAGCTTGTAAACTTCGTCCAAGCCCTGACCAGTAGACTGAAACAGAAGCGGGATTATGAGTTGGTGCAGGCATGGATGACAGTATTTTTGAGACTGCATATGGAGTCTGTGGCGATGGATGAGCGACTTGTAGGAGCCTTGAGGGAGTGGAGGGAGTGTCAGCAAGTTGAGGGCACGAGGTTGGGGGATCTTGTCGGATTTTGCGGTGGTGTTGTGGGATTTTTGAGGAGTCCTAGGACGTAGTTTATTTTTGGATGTTGATATGTTGTGAAAATGAAAATAAAACTATAATGAAAGCTACGCGTTGAGAGGTGTAATACTTAGACACTTCCCTGACCTAATTTTACCTCAACAGTACGTTAAAGTAAGACTTTTCCTGCACGTAATACGGGGTCTAAACACACCGAGACATTTGCCCTTTAGAATGACAATGTCTCTCTTCCTAACGCGATTATTGTCCAATCCGCAGTACGGCAATATCGAAAATAGCAAGGAATGCGGCACCCGTAGGTTCCCTCGAAAAGGCAACAAGGCTAGTCTCTCTGCTATCAAAATCCGGGGTAGATTATTCGTCTAACCGCACCCTTCCAGCTTTGCACCTGCATTATCGTGTCTGATTGTGCAACAGGGGCGCTCGTCGTGGCTGCACTCTTTCTCACTGGGAGCTTGGGAGAAACGCCTGGATTTTCAGATTGGGATTGCGGGGTTGTAAGCTGGTGTTGGTTTTGGCGGAGGGGGGGTTTTATAAGAGGACTGGAGTGGAAGGTGTTGGCCTTCATCCATTGGCCCCATCTCTTCCTCTTCTTCATTCACTCTTATCTGTCTATACACATCGGAAGAAACCTCCATTCTCATATCATATCAACTCCAACTCACTCGCTCAATCTCCAACTCCCACGAAACACGCTAAAATGCTCACAAACCGCCTCCTACGGTCTTGCATCCAAGCATCGACCTCTACATCTCATCCCAACCAGATAACCTCCCACATCCGTCCTTACTCCTCAAAAAAAGATCTCAATGAAAATGGGAATGCGGATCGCAGGGAAAATCCGGATTTCGAGGTTGCTCGTCAATGGTTCAGGTCTTTCAATCCTGCTAAACCGACGGCGAACGAGGGGACGGGTGTCTTGCCCTCGGCGAAGATTGCTACGACGGAGTATTCGAGGGCTAGTGGGCCGGGGGGGCAGAAGGTTAATAAGTATGTTTTTATATCTGTCCCTTTTTAATTTACTTCAAAGTAATCAATTTTTGGCATCTTGGATGATGCGGGAGAGGGGAGAGTAAAGGCAAAGGAGTTGTTTCATGAGTGAGTGCTAATTGAAAAATGAATAGATCCTCAACCAAAGCAACAACAGCCTGGCCCCTCCACGCTTTACTTAAATACGTCCCGAAAGCCCTGCATCAGGGATTGAGGGATAGTGGGTATTATGTTGCGTCTAGTGATGCGATCAAGATCTCATGTGATTCGAATCGGACGCAGACCGAGAATCGGGAGGTAGGTTTTCTTTTATTTTTCCTTCTCTTTTCTTTTTTCGAGCCGGGTAAATGAAGTTGGAGGAGTGGTGTTGGTATATGAAGGAACGGCTGGAAGGGTTGGGAACGATGGTGCTAATTATGAGCAGGAAACTCATGCCAGATTCTGTGCTGAGATTGAGAAGATTTATCGGAAGAGTGTTCCTGGTGTTACTAGTGAGGACCAGAAAGAGAAGGTTTCTGAGTTGTGAGTTTTTCTAGGTTTTTGTTACTCTGATATTTGGTTTGAATTTGTTCTAGCTGTCTTTTTGTTGCTATATCGCGGTATGCTTTCCTGTGTAATATTTCTGTCAGCTCGTTTTGCATCGTTCTTCTTTTCGCTTTTGGTCTCATCGCGTGCTGTGCTTCTTTCTGGTCATGAAATCCCGATGATTCGTGTTACGGTTCACATTTTCACATACCACAAATCTCCAGTCGTTCAATTCAAGTCATACTATTGCGCGCCGACTTCCACAAGCTGGACCTACAGGACAGGAAGAGTCCAAAGAATCATAGATCTCGAGCCAGGTCAGCTGAGAGGAAGTAAAGAAGAAACTGCGGAAGGTGAAGATCAAGAATAATAGCGAGGTGGCTAGCGCTATTTTCGCATTATCTTTGTTCTCATCTTCAGATTTGTTTGGATGTGTTACTTTTCACTTTCCTTGAGTCTCCTTTTTTGCTTACTTGCTTGGATCGAATTGCATTTGGTCCATTGATTGATTGTCCTCGCCTTTAGAGGGTCAACACCCACCAAGTTCAAGCGAGAGTCGCTCAAATTGTACAAAATGGATGGCAAGGAGTACAGGAAGGCCAAGTACCAGGTTTCCAAAGAGTTGGGTGCCGAGAAGAAGCGTAGAAAGGGTTCTGATAAGGCTGGTGGTAGTCAGGCTCGTCAGACTCAAAGGCCAAGGAAATAGTTATATCTCTGTTCCTTCCTCGGCGTTGCTTGATTTTTGCCTGCTATTTTTTGCTATTCTTTGGTCTGCTGGTTGATGGCTGAGCTGCGTTTTGTCATTGGCCGATGGTCTGCCAGCTGTAATCCTTCAACACACTCCAAGCACAAACGAGAATATCTCAAGATGCCAAAACGGCTTCCAAAGAGTTTGATAAAAGCAAGAAGCAGATATATTTTCTGAAGGGGGCTGAGAAAAGGAGGAGAAGTTCGAGTGATGGAGTGTGAGGTAGGAAGGGGTTGGAATGTTTGTTCTACTTCAGTTGACAACTCCTAACCCTCCCTCTCGCTTTATACTTGTCTTCGTTTCCTCGTTGCTTCTATTACATTTTTTATTTTTGTTACTCCTTGATACTAGCGTCCCCTTCATTATGATGACTTATTTGTCTCATTTCTTGCCTTGACTTACGTTGATTTACTTTCATCGTACGAAAAATCAACGTCATCATCATACTTCTCAAGAGTCATCATCTGATTCAATGCTCCTTCTGTTCAATACAGGAACTCTTCCTCCTCGGTATCCCCACGCTTCTGGAAGGCATACGAATTGCGGAAAGCGGGCGCGAATGGGATCCAAAGATTGCGAAATGAAAGGATCACAGGTAAGGGGTTGGCTAAGAGGAAGAGGGAGTCAAGTCACTCAAGTGAGCCTAGTAAATCCGGGAAGGGGTTGTGATGTTCGTTCTACGTTAGTTCACAACTCGTCTCCTCTCCTCTTCCTCATGCTCGTTCCTTGTTTTCGTATCCTCGTCGCTCTTTCTATCTTCTCTCATTTTCCCCCTCCGGTTTTCTAGCATCACTTTTCTGTCTATCTTACTTTTCATCTGCAAACCTTCAATCCATCTCCATCTCCATCTCCACCCCTCCTCACGAATCAAATCAACATCTGATTCGACCGTCCTCCACAGGCAATCATTGAAGTTCATGTTGGAGAAATCCCGCAAGCTGAGGCTAGACACGCAAGCCATCAATCGGATCAGGAACCAGCTCATCAGAGCCAAGGACAAACGGCGTCGTCCGTGAGGATACACATAGAAAATGGAAGGGGTGGGAAGGGGTTGTAATCCCTTTTTGGAGGAGTGGTGTGCGGGCAGGTGCTTGATAGCTTTCCTCCTTCCTCCTCTCTCCTTTTCGTTGGCGGTGTGTTGTCTGCGGCTTGAATTTTTCTACTTCTTGTTTTTGATACGTTTCTCCTTAGCACACCTGTTCTTTTGCTCTTTTCTTTTCTTTTTTAACTACTTAGACTCACTTATCTTCCCACACTTCACCTCACATTTCCCCTTGACTTCTCATTTCATCCATCTCATCCATCTTATCACCTCTACAAAAAAACCCCCGCTAACAATCCTCCCCAAAACCCAGGAAGAAAAAAGAAAACAACGCACGCTTAAAGATGAAGAAACAACACGGGGATAAGAAACGAGCGAGGAAAGGGGGTGGGTCCGAGTAATAGTTTTAGTAACGGCCTTCTTTTTTGTCGTTGTTGAAATTTTGAGATTTTGGGTGTGTGTGCGTGTTCTGGAATTCGGATTGGGAGTGGGGATGAAGTCTGTTTTGTGAAATTGTGATGGGGGGTTGATGTGATTTGACTTGTTGATTTGGGGAAGGATAGGATAGGGAGGGAAGGGAATGGTAAGAGTATTTTTTTGGTGGGTTTGATGGTGTGGGTATGTAGTGGTGCGGAAAATGGGTATCGTAGTTAAGTTAGAGTGAGTTTAAAATGGAAATATGTAGATGAAGAATAGATTTAAGTTTGCAACGAGGAAGTTGATGTTGAGATGAAAATCCCACAGGTATATATATATATATATATATATAGGATACATAATCCTTGACTGCAATCTTTTTAAACCCTTCTATTAACACCTCCTCTTTTACAGATCTAGACTATTCCACTAAGTGACTTACTTACCTCCTCAATGGATCTTATAACCAACCCTCCAATAATGAGATAGATCACTTCACTACTTCAGTCTACCGCAACTCGGTATTTCATAACGAAATCAAACGAAGTGAGAATCCCCATGCTAGCTAGCCCCGACACTAGTGATATCCATCATCCTCCCTCATCACCTCTCCAACTTTCCAACTTTTTCTCTCGGTTCAAACAAAAGAACGAATTCGGAATATTGTGTATAAGAAATCGCAGCATACCTACCTATATAATAGAATGTAATGTAATATAATATATTCTTCCAAGTACCTATAAGTGCCACTTGCAGTAAATAGTAACTCCCTACGTATTTTTCGTATTTAAAGCAAAGTTATAAAACAAGACTTCTATTAATTGATCGCACAGATATGAATACAGGAGAGACTGGGAATTCAGGATGGCTTTTCTCGTCTCTTGCCTTTTTTTATTTTTGGGGGTTGAGTTATATATACTTACCTAGTGTAGTAGTGTCTTGAGAGGTGAGAGGTGAGATGGTTAAGTTCCTTACTACTAGAGTACTACATACACATATGTATATGTATGTAATGTGCTATCTTGGTGATCATCCTTAGGTCTATGGGGTAATGTATACTTGCACCTCGTTGGGGAATCTATTTTTGAGGAGTATTTTGGTACTTGGGGCGTTTATTTCAGGAGTCCGTTATTCTTGGTAGGCTCTGTTTATTTTGTGTGTTCCTATACAAATGATGACTTGATCGGGTCCGGTGTTTGATGAGTTGTGCTGAGGAATGGTAATTACTCTACTAACCTCAGAGTCGTTTTCAGACCTACTCAACTCAATTCTAAGTAAATCTAAGTAGTACTCGAGTTCTTGAGTAGTTTGTTCGAACGCTGATTAGGTCTAGTAGATATGGGTTTCTAGACAGCTCGGCAGAATTTCACATCTGAGTAACGGAACCATCTCTTTCTCAAAGTTCTTGGTTATGATATCTTAAGAATTGCATCTCTTCAAGAAACCAATATTCTTATAACCTCACTCTGGAAGCAGATTCATAATACATCCAGAACCGCCATAGTCCTACTCATTGCAGTCCAGTCCAGTCCATTGCATTCCATTCGCCCAACCCCGCTAGCACCAAACTCGCAGGCCGCGGATAAAAAAAGGAAGAAGAGAAAACCCATTCATATCATTACACTCATCACAACACTCATCATCACCCGCCCCCTCAATCACCCCTCTTCTTCGCCTCCTCCGCCTCACCCGCCGAACTTGCACTCGGAGTCTTCGGTCCATCCCCCTCATCCGTCCCCGTATGTTGATCCTCCTCCTCCCAATTATCCACCGCATTCTCATCCCAATTCTCCACCTCCCTCTCCAGACTCCCCGTCACGGACGCCCCTCCACCTCCCGCCGTCGTCCCGCTCTCCTGCGCCCCAACCCCAAGACCCTCCCCAAGTTCCAAATCGCGCTCCTCATCCCCCGGCACCACCTGATACGTCTTCCTCAAGCGCTTGCGGTCCAACATCCGCGTGTGGTACCAGCTACTCAGCGCCAGCGCACCCAGGGACCCCAGAATGTTCGCGACGATGTCGAATAAGTCGAAGACCCGGCCATTAGGGAGGAAACCCTGGAGGAATTCGGAGCCCACGCCGAGGATGCCGGTGCAGGTTATGAGGGTGAGGTTGAGGGTGCGGCGACGGGAGGTGTCGAGGATCCAGTAGAAGCAGGTGGTGAGGATGAAGAAGGTGAGGGTGTGGAGGACTTTGTCGTCGATGGGGAAGGAGGTGAGTTGGAAGGAGGAGAGGCCGCCGTAGGCGGCTGCTAGGACGAAAAAGAGGAATGCTCCTTTGGGGGTGGGTTAGTCTCCGTCTCCTTTTAAGATGTTTGTATAGGTTGGAATAGATGGTTGGATCGGATGTGGGGCTTGGAGTATAGGTCAATCACGTACCTGCGAATGGGAGTCTTATGCGCATCTTTGTGAATTTTTGTGTTTGTGTTTGTGTAGTGATAGTCTTGGTAGGGAATTAGGGTTGTAGGTTCATGCTCAGAATGTTCTTCATTTCGTGAGGGAGGAGAGGAAATGATGTTCTTCGCTTGTGCTGGGTTGTCTTGTATTTTCTGGGAAGCTTCTTGAGTTGCGTCTCATGGTGGTGGTACGACGACTGTGCCAACCAACTGATGGGACCCTGGAAAGCTATCATCACGTGAATGGGGGTAAAGGCAGCAAGCAATTTAGAATGAGACTGGGAGTGCAAGTAATTGCATTGGTTGGTAGTTAGTTGTGGGTTGAGTACTACCTACTGCTATTGTATTTTGAAGAGCTGTTATACTTTCTTTGAGTATATAGAAGAGCTTTGGTCTCTACTCAATAGCTATTCTAGACACATACAGCATCACAATAACTTGATGAGATAGTTGCAGGTCTCTGATTTAATAAAGTGTTCTTTGATCAGTGTCCTTTGTTGCAATAAAGAGAAAGTCAAGACAAGGCAATAGGTGTCATCCAGTTGTCATGACTAGCAGTATTGATTAAGCGATTGAGTTGAGCTGATGCAGTTATCAATTACATAAATTAGCTGAAAATAGGCAATGAATATTAACGTATTAATGAGACTCAAGGCTCTATAAATAGGTATATAATTCTCCATCTATACATAACAATTAAAAGAGTATCTATGTATTAAGGTCGCTCCTCCAAACTCTACCCACTCTTTGAGATCATCGAGTCCACTCCACATGCCGCTTTTAGTGGTCCGTGCCCGCGAATGCATGGAGTTCGGAGAAGCGCATTCAATAGAACATGTCCATCCCACCACGCAAATGTAGAGTAAAGGTGCCCTGGAGAAGTGTAAAAAAGGCAGATGTAGCGTAGATAGACCCCCTTTGCGTCTGCCATCCACGGCGGCCCCTCGACCCCCCCGCGGCGGGCGTGAATGCGGAAATCTCGTGGGCTCTAAATGCGTTTGGGCAGCCCCTAGCCAGAGCCATTGTCGTAGACCTCACTACACCTGAACTACACCACATCGCAACCGACGTGAAATCCATCAAAAACCACACCACCGCCATCGAATCTCGGACAGATTTCATCGGCCGAGTACATACCAATGAGGCGCCATCACGCAACCGCGAAGTAAGGACGTCCAGACGCCGTGACGCTGTCTCTACGAGCTTCTGCGGTTTGGGGAAAGCGCGACTGTGTTGCGCGGAGGGGGAGAGCGAGAGCGAGCCATCGCTTTCCAAATGGCGGCACGATCAGGCTCCTCCATCAATAACGGCCATGGGAAACCCTCGTGGAGGCCCGAATCATCCCATCTAACCAGCAAAATCCCCCGCATGCGCGACCACACGCCAACGCGATCCCATACCCATCCCCATCCCCATCCCCAGCCCAATACGCTACTGTTCGACATGGCTGAACCGGTCGCCGTAGCCGAGGAGGACGAACGTCAGAGGGCCCTCTTCAAGGACCTCTACCGACAGAGCGAGGCGCGCATATCACAGCTTTTTGGCGGAGCCGGAGACGCAGCATACACAGACCGAGATGAAGGGGACACGTCCATGGCCGATGATGAGCAATTGGCCCACCAGCTCGGTGCCATTGAGCCTCCTCCGCCGCCGCCAGCGCCCAAGAAGTCGGCGCGGACCATCGATGAGGACAACTACGATGACGATGATGAAGATGAGGATGAGGAAGACCTGCCACTCAACTCGTTAAAGAACCAGAATGCCAATGCGTTGATGTCGCCTTCCAAGTCTGGCAGCTCACCCGTATCCTCAGATACATCACCTCTTAAGCCTACAGTCGAGCCGAAGGATGATGATTCTCAACCCAAGTCCTCGGAAGATGTACGCAAACAATTGGAGGAGCAGAAAAAGGCGACCGAAGAGGCCGCCAAACATACCTTTCATACTGTATTTTATACCCTGGAGAATGACCGTGTGGCCATGTTGGAACAACTACAATTGGAGGAGACCGAGATGCAGATAAATGCCGAGATGGATAATACTGGCACTGCGGCAAACACCAACGGCGCAAGTGGAGAGCGACACAGTACTCTAAGTAGTGCCAACCTTGGCGCATCGAACCTGACTTTGAAGCATCTCATTGCCCGAATCGACCTTAAGCGCGAGAAAGTAAAAGCATCAGATGCAGAATTAAGGGCTTTGATGAACGAGGTCCGGAAGCATAGGACCAGAACCAAGTTTCAAAGCGATAATCTTAACCAAGAGGAGCTCTACGAAGCATGCGACAAGGTCTTAAGCGAGCTGAAGGCAATGAGCGAGTACTCAACCCCCTTTCTCACCAAAGTCAACAAGCGAGAAGCCCCGGATTATTATAATGGTTGGTACCTTGGAACTCCTGCTGAATACATTTGCTAATATAGTCAGTCATCAAAACACCCATGGATCTCGGAACGATGACCAAAAACCTCAAGCTGAACAAGTACAAATCCAAGGATGAATTTGTAGCGGACTTGGAGTTGATCTGGAATAACTGTCTCAAGTACAACAGTGACATCAAACACCCATTACGAGCCAAAGCGAACGCAATGCGAAAGGATGCAGAGAAATTGATCCCACTCATTCCAGATCTTGTTGTAAAGACTAGAGCCGAAGTAGAATTAGAAGAACGCCGAAAACCGAATGGAGGCGACGATGTTGCGGGAGAGGACAGTGATGACGAACCAATCATGTCCTCAAGAGGGCGTAAGGCTGGTACCAAGGGAGCCAATAAAGCAAGAAAATCTGCTCCTGATAAAGACGAAGGAACACCTGGAGTTGACCAGAAACCATCTCTGCAAGTGAATGGAGTTATTAGTAACCTCCAGCGCGAGGGCTCAGAGGCAGGGTTCGATGGCAGTAATGGTTTCGCTACTCCACCATTTGGTTCCATAACCCCAAGTGGAATGAATGGTGTTCCAGGAAGTCAAGCTGATGCCACAGATATTGACGGACCATCAATTAACGAACTCCATTTGGGGCAAGCTCTAAGCTCTACTACAGAAGATCTTCAGGAAGACGAAGAGTATAAAACCTGGAAGCAAGTTACCAAAAAAGATCGTGCACTGGTTGCCAAAGAACGGCATCGTCTTTTCAAGGCCGACAAACTCAACCCAGAAGAGCCAGCCTTACTACGTAGCAAAGCTGGCATGAGAAGATGGCTTCGTCAACAAAAGCAAGCTCAAGATACATCTCGTTCGGAGACCGTTCGAGACGAAAATGAGTTTTCTCAAGGCGCGGAAACTTTGGCTGAGGGCATGGAAAGTGAGGAAGGAAAAGTCTTACCAGATTACTATGATCCCCTCTCTGCCATTCCAGATATTCCTGCCAGATATCAGTGGATTGAAGACTCGGAAAGGCAGGTCATCGACCAAAACGAAGACTGTCTTCGCATGATTTCAGCTGGACATTTCACGGCACCAAAAAGTTTTCTTGCCAAAAAGCTCGACGCTAATATGCGACAAATGCAAGAGACTAGAAAGTTGTGTTCCAAAATTGGCATTATCAAACAGATGCAGATCCAGGCTCAGGTATGTAATATATTTTCACCTCGCGGTTTTTTTACTAACCAGGAACCAGATGTACAATAATCAATTCCCAAAATACGAGCCTGAGCCATTTGTGGAAGCCGATATTGAGCCGCACGTTGTCTCCGATGATGGTCCGATCATGGCTCCTTGGGTTTGCCACGCAGCCATGCAGCGCTCTGTAGCTAAAATCTGTTATCATGCTGGATTTGAAGAGCTTCAACCCAGTGCCTTGGATGTCATAACCGAGATCGCTGGCGACTTTATGGTCAAGCTTTGCCGAACTTTTAATGTCTATCGGGAGACTCCCAAGATTCCAGCATCTGGAGCAGCACTTGCTGCTGGCCAGAAATGGCAGGAGAGTTATACCGACGAGGAAGTCCTTCGCCATACTTTGGACAAAAATGGAATGGATGTTGAAGGCTTGGAGAGCTATGTGAAAGATGACGTTGACCGACTAGGGACTAAGCTTGGGGTCATGCATGATCGTATGAAGGCTCATCTAGCGGACCTCTTACGGCCTGCCCTTACTGATGCGGGAGCTGACGGATCTGGTGCTTTCAATGATGGAAGTGAGCAGTTTGTCGGAGGTGACTTTGCTGAAGAATTGGGTGAAGATTTCTTTGGCTTCAAGGCTCTTGGTCTTGATTCCGAGTTTGGCATGTCAAGTCTCTCAGTACCTCTGCATCTTCTTCACGCCAAAATTCACCGAAGTTATCCAGGCCCAGCAGCAGCAGTTCAACAGGCCGACATCTTCGAGCCTCTTGGACCACTGGAGCCAGTTACAAGAGAGCTTCTTCAAAACCAGATCGGTCTTGTCAGGAATTTCTTCCTTGCCAAACTGCACGCTAACGATGACGAACCACTTCTCGAGGATGAAGAGCTTCCAGTCAAGCAACGCCCATCACGACCTCGTCTTGGTCCTACCGGTAAAATTACCAGCCCTCGCAAACGACCAATTAAGGAAGCGACTGGAAACTCAAAGAAAAAGAAGAAGCTCGAAAATGGTACTGCCATGGACCCTTCTACGGGTGTTAAATCGGGTGCCAACGTGAGCCCCGAGAAAGCCACTGCGAAGAAGGTCAAGGCGAGTTCTGGTGGACCGGTCGCTATGGAAAGGGCGGACAGTGGGCAGGGTAGTATACATACGGAGAAAGATGATAATTCGGCTGTGGGGATGATGAGTCCTGAGAGTATTGAGCGGTGATGAGAGAGTTTCTCGTTAAGCGATAATACACACAATTTTTTGATTTATTCAAAATCCATCTTGGAGGGAGCTTGTTGTGTGTGAGCTACCATAGCTGTGTGAATCCATCGCATCACCGCAATACCTTGGCGTTTTCTTTTTTGACAACAAATACCCCCACGCACTACACTATACGACATACTACGAGTTCGCATTCACTCCCTATTTCACTCTCTTTCTTTTTTCGCTTGCATGGAGAGGAAATACTTTGCACATATGGGATGGATAGCTTTGATTTTTGGGGAGGAGGTTTCCTTTTTCTCTATATTAATTTGACATTTTTTGTACTAAGATCATTTATGTTTTCTCTTTTTTTTAAACTTTCCTTTTCCCTTCCTCTCGTTTCTTGGGGTTTTTTGGGCGTTGATCAAAGGGGGTGTGTGGTTTTTTTTTTGCCGGGTTTTTTGGGAGGCAGGCATGCTTTAGTTAGTTGGTCGAAGATTGAAGGGGTGGAAGGGAGTGTGATGGATGGATGGATGGGATGGGATGGGTGGATGGATGGAATCGTTTCTTGGGATGCGGTACTCGATATCTTTTGTTTCCTGCTTTTCTTTCCCTTTGAGGATTGGTTGGTTGGTTGATGTGTATGGATGGATGGGGGTGGGTCAGAGGGGGAAAGGGAATCATTTTTCTTTCCATGCACGCGTACGCGATCTAGTTTCTGGGGATGATATGGTTGAAGGGGGAAAGGGAAAGGGAAAGGAAAGGGACGGGGAAGGGGACATTTGTATTTTAAAAGGCTGGTCGGGTGGGCGGTCGCTATAAATAGCTATAGCTAGTGAGTGGTAGTTGTTGTAGTTGTCGTGGTAGAGATGAGAAGAGAAGATTCGTCGTTGTTCTGTTTTTGTGTCCTGAGTGACGTGTATTCTATGTGCTGAGATTTTGTGTTTTGGGATATTGTGATGTGCTGGGTTATTCATTGTGATATACTATACTGTGATGTAATGTGATATATGTGTGTATGTGTGTAGAAACAAGCCAGCGTAAAAAGATATAGAATACTCGTACTATAAACTAGTAATATAGTAAAATCATATATAAATGAAACATACAATACCTCCAACCTTTTTGATTTTCGATTTACAAAGATAAGCAAACATGTAAATTTCCAAGTACAAGTAAAGACGTTCGTTCTATGTACACATAATTTCAAGGCAATAGAAAACACTCCCCTTTCCCCCTGTTCCCCAAAAGTAATATAACCCCTATGACTATCTATCCCTTCTTAACTCCAAAAAATACACAGCAAAATTTACTCTCCTCGCTATATCCTAGGAGGAATACTTTGCGTGTCTGCTCGTAGCGAATTGTCCGGAAGGGTGGTCAACTATACTAACAAGTAGTCTGTCTGTCTTCTAGTCGGCTGTGTCAACAAATCAAAACATATTCCATCCAACGGTATTCCAGCGAGTAAGTATCAAGTAAATTACGAGGAGCTTATAGGCTTAACTTATACCAGGACTATCCGACCCTACCTAGCTGCTGCCTGCCAAAGTAGTAACAGTAACTCGCCCATCATCGGACTATAACGCTCTGCCGTCGGTGAAAGCCCTACTTTTAACTCATCTCAACTCAACTCAACTTATTTCCAACGCTGTACGAAGGATTAGATTAAATTTGAGTGTTTGTTTAAGAGAGTGGTGGACTCTGTAGAAAATACCCCCGGTCCCTGGAGTTACATTCGTAGATTTGGTGTGGTATGGTGGATATGAGACCTCGCTTGGTAGCTGACGGGAAGTACACCTTACATTTATATAATATCGAGCAAGTATTCTTTGGGAATTGGAGGTATATGTATGGTCAGTGGGTACCTTTATCTTTCCCGCGAAGAAATGAAGGATTGTTTACTGCAATCTCGTAGTGTTAAATTAAGAAATCTGTTCTTACTTGTTGAAAGCCATTAATGCTTTCATTTCCTATTTTCAACGGCCGTACTAGGTACTGTATCAATTACTATACAAGCAGTATCACCACTTAAAAAATTCCTATTACAAGACAAAAGTCTTACTATTTGGTAACCTCAATTACCAATCAGCGCAAAGCACTATGTTACTTTTCATACTAATACACGTCTCCTCCTGCGGTGCTATCCACCAACTCTCGCTTAAATAAGCAAGAAGGGAAAAGAAAAAAAGAACGCCATCCCAATGCCCCAACTCCAGCCAAAGATCCACTAATACAGCCCGCCTATCAGGAACCTCTACTTCTTCACCGGCAAAGGCGGAGGAGCCATCTTCCCAGCTCCCGTATCAACTCTCTTATTAGGCACCGGTGGGGGTCCCATACTTCCACTTCCACCAACTTGCGTGAAGGTTCCTCCCTTGAACCATCTATCCTCTTCTGCTTTCCGCTTTCGGCTCATTTCCTGCTGCATCCTGGGATCGACTAGTTCAAGACCTTGAACGGGCGTAAATGCAAGGGAGGAAGCAGTACCAGCTCCTGCTCCCGCCGTACTGCCAACACCAGCAGCTCTTAATCCCTTTCCTCTCAAATCAATACCTGAACCCGCACCCTGACCGAAGCCACGAAGCGAGGATGCTGATCCACCAACTGGTGTAGCAGCACCCCACCCCTTATTCTTCGCAGAAAGTTTGGCCTTCGTGCGTTGATCAACTTGCAGATTTCGGATTCGACCTTCGTTTGCTTGGCCAATCATTCCAAGACCCTTCGTGCCGTCTCCAGAGCCAAGTCCAACTTCCTTTTCTTCTTTTCCGAAGATCATTCTGTTTTGGGCTTTTCGGAGATCGGTCATTCCAGTTGCTTCTTTGGCCTTTCTGGCTCTTCGTCCACCACGTTTTCTCGCGGGTTTGTCGTCTGGTGCAGGGAGAGCTCTTTGGCCTTTATTTAGTGGGGGCTCGGTGAGTTTCTCGAGACGTTCTAAGCATGCTGCTTTGAGTTCTTCTCCAGTTGAGCCATCGGTGCTGTTGTGGACTCTGTCAACACGTGCTGCGAGAACTACTTTTGCAGAAACGATTCGCATAGCTTGTCTTTTCAGGTCATTGGGAATTCCGCGAATGATAGGAGAATGATACAAAAATCCTTGCTGTCGAACTCCAACATTAGTCGCAAATCCAGTTCCAGATTGCTTTTTCGATCCCAGAGGTGGTAAGTTGCAAGCTGGTGTCTTTGCGAGACCGGTAAGCCCTCCGGCAAAATTCAGAAGTTGCGCCGCAGTCAGAGATCCGATAAGCGCTGTAAGATTGGGAGCAAACAAGTTCATTCGAGATTGAACATAATCTGTCAAAGTCTTCTTCGCTTTATCGAGTGCCAAAGTCATGTCGCAAGCTCTCATAACTCTCTCCAGCTCAACTTCTGACATTTCGCGTCCTTTGGTTGTCGTTGCTTCAACTGTAACAATCATAACCGAGGGTCCATCCAATACAGACCGTAAAGTAGCGTTTAATCGGTTTTCTTTCGAGGTCTGCAACGCCTTGATACTATCTCCGTCCATAGGTCCATTCCCAATGATGGTCACAACTTTCGCATAGTCCATAGGATTGGTAACCAAAGTCTCCAATTCAGGAAACCGAATGGAATAGTGGTCGCGAATAAATTTGTGAACAATCATGATTTCGGTATCTATCGAAGTAGACAAAGTATTTGACTGCGTCAAGAGTTTATACTCGGGATTATCTTCGATCGAGCCGACAAAGGTGGTTTGCTTCTCGGGTGGTAATGATTGAAAGTGGGCGATTTTCTATACGTTCCGGGGTGTCAGGGCTAACACGGAAAAGGGCAATGTAAACAATGCATTTCTAGAGTAGAGGAGGGGAGACAAAAAGGGTACTAACCTCTAATACTGGCTCCAGGGTCTTCATAAGTCGCGCGACACTTCTAACATCATCCACGCCGCCCAATTCCATCTTCTCAACTTTGGCTTTGGTTTCCTCTTCATCCTCGACGTCGACGCCCGAGTCGTTCATTCCTCCCATTGCCTCGTCCTCGACTACCTCCTCTTCATCGCCATCCAGTTCCATGCCCTCTCCATTTGCGCCTAGGGTCTGGGTGTTGTTGTCCTTGGGACCATCGTCATTTGGGAATAGTCCTTCATCTTTTTGGTCGCCTCCCTCGGACCCAGAGTCCTCGAAATCCTGTAGAAGCTCGTCTGCGAGTGTCGACATGATTACTTGGTGTTGAGGTGTATTGCGTTGTAAAGTCGAAGTGGAGTTATGTCCGATTATTTTACCCAAGGCTGCAGCACCCTGAGAGTGGCGCGCCACAGCCTTAAATTTTTAGCGTCCAGGCGATCACTTTTATGTTGACAGAGACCATGACATAAACAAACAGCCAATCACCAGTCTAACTTCATTGGTCGCGTTTAAGAAAAGACGGCGATACTTTCTGATTCACTACTCATCATACAAAAGCCATAAAGTCCTGGTGCTGAATATTGCATTCGCGATTGCGACAACCACCAGGTCTCAGCCAACCCATCTCCCGCCATCATGGAGTCCACGCGAGGACCCCCGAGGGTCAAGAATAAGGCCGCGAGTGCCATTCAGATCTCTGCGGAACAGCTTTTGCGAGAAGCTGTAGACCGACAAGAACCAGGCCTTCAAGCGCCGACCCAGCGATTCGCGGATCTCGAAGAACTCCATGAGTTCCAAGGCAGGAAACGGAAGGAGTTCGAGGACTATGTGCAGAGGAATAGGATTAACATGAACAATTGGATGCGATATGCGCAATGGGAATTGGAACAAAAGGAATACAAGCGCGCAAGATCAATCTTCGAGAGAGCTTTGGATGTTGATCCTACGTCTGTTACATTATGGATTCGATATACCGAGGCGGAGATGAAATCAAGGAACATCAATCATGCTCGAAATTTACTGGATCGCGCGGTCACTATTTTGCCCAGAGTTGATAAACTTTGGTACAAGTACTGTTATATGGAGGAGATGCTGGGCAATATTCCAGGAACAAGACAAGTTTTCGAGCGGTGGATGTCCTGGGAACCAGATGAGGCAGCATGGAGCAGTTATATCAAATTGGAAAAGAGATATGGCGAATTTCAAAGGGCACGAGATATCTTTCAGAGGTTTACCATGGTCCATCCAGAGCCAAGGAATTGGATTAAATGGGCAAGATTTGAGGAGGAGTACGGAACAAGTGATTTGGTCCGGGAGGTTTTTGGCACTGCTGTTGAAGCGTTGGGCGAAGATTTCATGGATGAACGATTGTTCATTGCGTATGCTCGATATGAAGCGAAATTGAAGGAATACGAGCGAGCTAGAGCCATCTACAAATATGCTCTGGATCGATTGGCAAGATCAAAATCAGTTGCTCTTCACAAAGCCTACACCACATTCGAGAAACAGTTTGGTGATAGAGAGGGCGTGGAAGATGTGATTTTGTCGAAACGACGGGTGCAGTACGAGGAACAAGTCAAAGAGAACCCCAAAAATTATGACGCTTGGTTCGATTATGCTAGGCTGGAAGAGGCTTCTGGGGATGTTGATCGAGTTCGTGATGTGTATGAGAGAGCAATTGCTCAAATTCCACCAACACAGGAGAAACGACATTGGAGAAGGTACATTTACTTATGGGTATTTTACGCAATTTGGGAGGAGATGGAGTCGAAAGACACCGAACGCGCAAGACAAATCTACCAGGAATGCCTGAAATTAATACCTCACAAGAAATTTACCTTTGCTAAAATCTGGCTTATGAAGGCACAATTCGAGATTCGACAACAGGACCTTTCAGTTGCGAGAAAGACACTCGGTCAAGCTATTGGAATGTGCCCCAAAGACAAACTCTTCAAAGGGTACATTGAGTTGGAACTCAAGCTTTTCGAATTCGTTCGCTGTCGAACGCTTTACGAAAAACACATTGAATGGAATCCTGCCAATTGCCAAGCATGGATAAAATTCGCTGAGTTGGAACGTGGTTTGGATGATCTCAAGCGTACACGAGCTATCTTTGAGCTGGCGATTTCTCAAACGGTTCTTGATATGCCTGAATTACTCTGGAAAGCATACATTGATTTCGAGGAGGAGGAAGGCGAATATGAACGAACCAGACAATTATACGAGCGTCTTTTGGATAAGACCGACCATGTCAAGGTCTGGATCAGTTATGCTCACTTTGAAATCAATGTTCCGGATGATGATGAAGAGGAAGACGAAGAAGAAGAGAAACCTGTCAGCGATGCTGCCAAGGCACGTGCTAGGAAGGTCTTCGATCGTGCACTTGAGAGTATGAAGGAGAAGGAGCTCAAAGAAGAGGTAAGCAATTCTATCTCTCGGGAATTTTTTGTCATGGTACTAACAGATATTCAGCGTGTCTCTCTCCTCAACGCTTGGCTTTCTTTCGAGCGAACTCATGGTTCGGAAGAAGATATTGAGAAAGTGCAGAAACAGATGCCTAGAAAGACGAAACGTCGCCGCAAGCTGGACGACGACAGTTACGAGGAGTACATCGACTATGTATTCCCTGCTGACGACAAGCAGACGCAATCACTTGCGAATCTCTTGGCGAAGGCTCAAGCTTGGAAACAAACTGGTGGAACTGTTACGGAGACTGCCGCGAATAGTGATTAGGATTTGGTCAAAATGGGGTTGATCGAGTCTAAGATTGTATGATGAATCAGCTGGTTTTTTTAATATTGTAAAAAGTAGATATTCTTCCAGGGGCCATCATGACCTCGCCTCCCTGAAGACCCAGTGACAAGCGAGACGATGAATGAAATGCTGTGGATTGAAGTTTCAGACCAATGGCCGACAATTATATACCTATGGATTGAGAAACAACAGAAAGCAGCCTTCGTCCAGGCTGTTTTGTTAGGCGCTCCTGCTCTGTATATTTCGGGCCCTCGCTTGGCGCTAATAGAAATAAAGGTGGGGCTCGGGATGTGGCAGGAGCTCAGTCCCTCTCCTAACCATTGAGTTTCCATTATTTTCAAAGCTTTGAAGCTCTCAATGCGGGGTCGAGACCTCCTCTATCTTCTTCAATCCAGATGTTGTACATTATACCTCGTTCACAAAACACCTCATTTCCTCTTTCAGTATGGAGGAGACATAGGTAACACCCAACAGGGATTGGCGCTAGCAGCGCTGAGTTGGATTGGGAAGGGGAGTGGAGGGTTCTCAACCCCCAAGAACACGGCATCCATGTGCTGTGCAGGAGTCTGGAATCTCCAATTGCAGCGGCGCCAAAAAAAGGAAGAAGAAACGCCAACATCCTCTCCTCTCCTCTCCCAACTCCCTGAGGTGTCGAGGGATATGTCCCTTCTTCCTCTTCTCTCCTCCTCACCATCCCACTCGTTAGATATTATATTATGAACCAATCCCTCTCGCTCTCCTGACTCTGGACGCCGAATTCGAATTCAAAGTCCCCGTTGGATCCTCCGGTCTGCTTGGACTTGGCTGTAGCCCACTCGCGGCACGCCTCCATGTCGGACAACAATGGGGGGAACGCGACGAATGCGAAGGGCTTCGATGCTATAAATCAGAATGTTTTTGGGCTGACGGCGTTGATTGTTTCGCTCGTGGCGCTGGTGACGACGGTGCTGCAGGTTTTGCAGCAGTACTTCTCGAGTGCCGAGGGGTATCGACGTTGTGCAAAGAGTGTGATGGGGGATTGGAGTCAGGGCACTCATAGGAGACTTGTTTGGAGGGAGTTTAGGGTGGAAGTGGTTTTTGAGACGCCGGTTATACTTATTGCTCATCCTACGAATACGAAAGGACCAATTCATAACCGACCTATACACTACATCGATGGGACTGACGAGTCGTACCAAAACACCCGAGTCCTTAAGCCAGATGACGAGAAAAACGCAAGCGACAAAACAGTTGGGAGAGTACATACTGCTGATGACGAGAGGGCGTCTTGGGTTACTCTTCTTTCAGCACTCCAAACTGCGGAAGCAAGCTCTCGAAGATGGGATGAACTGGAACGCAATAAGGCCCCTCCTAAGATTCCCAGAATTCCACTAGCCGAACATCAAATTGCTGTAGGGCTGCAAAGGAAGACGCGGTCCTGGGACTTTATTCCCTCGTCAATTACGAAACCGTATGCCACCACGGCGATCTGCCATTTAGTCGAAATGATGGCAATGTTAGGCGTACACTGGAAAGTCTTCGACCAAATAATGTGGAATTTGAGAGCGGAAGGAAACGGCTATATTTTGACATCGACTACAGTACATGGGCTTGGCGTCATGGTGGTCTTTGCTATAACTGGAAAGTCGAAATTCGAAGAGTGTCGAGTGATTCCGTGTGAAGCAGTCAAGGAACTGGCATTTGGCACGGTTCCTAACATATTTGATGAAAAGGAATATTTGACCAAGGAGCCAGATGCTCAGAGTCTCCAGTTGCAATTCGGGACACCGGATGTCGTTGCTACAACTTTAGAATCTCTAGGTTGTACACAAGAAACACTGGCACGATGGGAAAAAGATCATAAACACATATTTTCTGGTAGGAAACCATTCCTAACACATTCTGTCTCCTACTAATCACCTCACAGTATCATTCGAAATCATCGGCATGCTAGGAAAAGCCTTCCGCATCCGCGGCAGTAACTTCCGCATGCTCCCTAACCCAACCACCGACTTCTGGATGAAAAAGACTTATCAAAAGGCCTCCTGGAAAATCACCTGGTTGATGGAAGTCTTCCAAGACAAACTAAAAGAGTTGATAGAATCCGAGGGTTTCCAACCCGATCACCCAATCAGCTTGATTCGGTACAAGTGGATAGAAATTTCCGATCTGGGATGTATAGACGACAGTACCCTTTCCCTCGAAGCCTGCGAACGCATTCACGACGCTTTAGATCAGAGCACGGACTATCTCAAAAACCAAAAACAGCAAGTTGTCCTAGATGTAGTCGTTGCGCATCTTACCAAGGTGATGTCCGTGCTCGAAGACCAGAGTTCGAAACTAAATAATATCGTGTTGGCGAAAAAGGAGGAGACCCTGTTGAATTATTATTTCTACCATGTGAGACCGGCGGTTATTGGGAATCTGGATTCGACTGGGATCCTGTTGAGCAGGGCGGAGAAAGAGCTGAGGAATACGATCTGGATTAGTCTTGTTTTTCGGATGCTGTGTTGGCTTTTGTTGCATGACTTTGATCGGAGCGATGTTAGGGTTGTTCCTATGGATATGAAGGGGAGTCGGATGCCGATTTATATTGGGTAATTAATTTGGGGGAGACTGAGGGAGTTGATATATATCATGACCTATTGCGTGGCGTAGGGATTTGGGAGAGATGCATCGTCTGAGCATTACGTACTTGGAGTTTTATTGGGTTTTTGAGCGTTCAGCGGCATACCCGAAGGCATATTTTCTACGCCCTTATTCTTTTCTTTACTTGCATAGTTAGCTACGCTTTACTGTTTGGGGATACCATACCGTATAGCACTATCCCTTCGTGCGGAATATGCACAGCGCCCAGGCTTGGTACGGGGCTACAAGCGAGCCGTGGCGCCGCTATACCTAATTAGGACGTACCAAGTATTAAAACTCTATGTCTTGTTAGAAGTACGAATATTATTAGAAAGTAAACAATTTAAATATAAATATAATAATACTATAAATAATAATATCTATCTTATATATATTATACTTACTTCCTCCTATTTTCTAATAATAATATAAAACTTTATATCTAGAACTACTTCGTATATATAGAACGTATTCTAATTTTTTTTAGAATAAAGATACTTCTTATACTCGTGATCTTCACCAGATGGGTAATAAAAACCACCAAAGAATACGGTTAGAGAACCAAATCAGAGCCGAGGACTTCGGATTTATAAATGAAATGTCTTGGAGGATCTGAATGACGAGGAGAGAGCTCTAGGGCTATGCCGAGATCATGTGTGACATATGCGTGGCGAAAGGATATGTTTGACCTACCTTTGGTGCATAGTTGCTGATTACGTGACTCTAATTCTCAGGGCGACGAGTAGATGTTTGGATTTCGACGGTACGTTGGTTTTATACAGTAAGAACTGTCAAAGCTCAATTGTTGCAGAGGTGTGAGGAGTGTCAAGGTGGGAGTAGTAGGACTTGAGAATATCTTGAGGAGTTGTGGTGGGGAGGTGGTGATATGAGTAAACTAAAGATGAGAGATACCTCCCCGGCATTTAACCCCATGAATGCAAAAGCAAAGCTCTTAGGCAATGTAAAGTATCGCTAGCAGCATTCCTTAAGCTTCATTCATACAATCACGTGACTGGAATAATGAAGTTGATAAAGAGGTCATACACAGTTTTTGGGAGATTTCTGGGATCTCTGGCGTTCGCTGCTAAGAAATTAATGCGTAAATTTGGTTGTGTAGAGAAGATGACAGGTTCCTACATTAGAGAGAGGTATCAAGGTCAAGTTAAATTAGTAAGTTTTCGCGATCTCCCTGGATTCTTCCGGGACATTCAGTGAGGACATTTAGTAGTTCTTTTCTCACCCAGAGAATTTTGATTGAATGCTGTGGAGTAGGTAATTTATTTCACCTAGTCTTCAGTAACAATACCTACTTAGTTCTAAACACAAAAACATGTCTCAGATATATGAAGACTCCCCTGCTAATCTCATTGCCCTAAATCTCAAAGCAAAATGAGAGAATACTGTATTGAGAAAAGATGGAATACAATATCTCTAACACCGTAGAAGGCTTGCATATAACTCTCTGGTACACCAGAAAGAAAGAGATGCACATAGATACTATTCCAACTCATATCGTAGTTAACAAACGTTGACGCCAGCCGGGAGACGGGATATATAACCTGCTTAAGGACTCACTTGATCATATCCATAAGTACGAACACAACAGGCTTTGACAGCCTATGCGAGCCACCATGATATTAACCGTTCCAAATCTCAACCAGTCAACCAGTCCTTTTAGTTTGTAGAATACACTCGCTGTGCTATGAACTGGTAGGTCTTCTAACAAATCTTCTCTCGTCACTATTGACTCTCTTCTTCTGCTGTCGCTCTTGAATTTACTGTCGATGCGAAGTCATTCATTACCTCGAGGATTGGCCCAATGGGAATTCTCTACGATGACCCTTGTTGAAGCGTGGTTCCTATGGATCTAACGAGATTCTTATCCTCAACCCTAAACATGCCCTTCCCTTTTCCAGTTCGATCATGACGACTTGTGTTATTTGTTCTCTCAAAGCATTCATGTATGTGAAAGGAGTGGGGAGTAGAGATTTATAGAGATGTCATTTAATTTTCCTGGATAGGAGGGAAGTGAGATAGACTCACATTTGATGTTTGTCGGTAGCTGGGTCAGATACGATTCTGTATTTTCAGGTTTTATGTGTATTATTTCTCTTCCTTATCATCTGATATTGCTTTGCTCCTTCTTTCACATTCAGCGGTTTGAATTAGCCATATTTTGTGACCAACTGATTTCAATACATCAGCTGGTTTCAAATTATAAATAGTACTTAAGCTCCCGCTCGTAGATATAGCCAATATAATCATTTATTCCGTTATTCCCCAATCAAGCGCACTCACCTACGCAAACACAAAATTCCTCCACATTCACCCCCTCACCCATCAACCCAATCCCCTCCTCCCCTCCTCCCCCTCCCAC